CCTAAACGCATCAAGTTAGCCGTGATTTGTCTTCGTCATTGTTATTTTCTCAAAAAAAAGAGTTCGAGAATGTTTAGCGCACGGAAACAGAAATCGGGAAAAAATTGCCGTGCGCTGTTTTGGAAATGCCACCTTTACTTTATTGTAGAGACAGGTGAAAAAGAGGTGTTTTCAGGTAAGTATAATAAAATAGTATATCGCAATGACATCAAAACACAGATAGACGGATCATCCCATTCATAAACTGATATTTGTTGTGTTGACAAGACCACCCATGGGCCAGGGGAGGTGAGTTGCTCGCGGGGTCGGGGTGGGGAGACATCATTGCTCAAAATGGTGTAAAAAACCCCGCCCACACGTGAATATATCTCAAAATTTAATTGGATGAATAAATAAAATAACAAATTGACAAATAAACTGAAAATATTCGATACGAGCCCTTTATTCTGGGAGTACCAATATCGTGTTAGTCGTTTCTTGTTTAACGCTAATGAATAATCCCTGTTTGCGATAAAGGAAGCTAGCTACTCCAACTAACACCTGCCTGCCATTCAACAAGCCGCTTCTGGGCGGTGTTTTGCTACAATCTGCTGTTGCCAAATTGAGTTCAGAAATAAAATTGAAAACGTTAATTAGAATAGGAGAAAAATATATTAATTAGGGATTCAAGACAAAATTTGGCATTCTCAGTGGTGGGGATAGCACAAAGACCCAAAAGAGACAGAGAGATGTTGTCATACGAAAATTTTGTTTATTGTTCCGTCTATCTGTGTTTTGATGTTATTGGTATATCGCCACTGCTACAAATGCCTAGGCGAAGGACATGCCGCAAAAAAATGTTATTCAAAAACCGACTATCACGCTTGTAGATTCTCAAATTGCTGAAAATTAAATCTAAAAAGACCTACTTCGCCAATTTGTTTACAATGGAAGAAATTGATTTTGAAGTTATGTAGAGAAAATATGACAGAAAATATGATTATCTGAGCGAAGAAACTTTAAAAAATGTTGCTAATGCTTCCCCTAAGATTCTAATTGGTCAAGATAATGCCTTTCTTCTTTATGCTAAGAAATTATACATCCAAAATTCGACCAACCCAGTACTAAGTAAAACAATGTTAGAATGGGTGGTACATGGTCCGTACAAGAAGCAAGCAACTAGTCAATTCAATGTAAATTTATGTAAGCATGATGAAGAATACTTTGAAGAAAATTTTAAACTTGAAGGTCATAGTAATGGAACTGAAAAAAACATAGTTTTCTAAAGAAGACCAACGAGCTTTGGAAATATTTAGTACCTCCCACACTTTGCTGTCAAAAATCGGAACAAACTGGGAAAGATCCGCTTTGTCTTTGATGCTGCGGCAAAAATAAATGGAGTCAGTCTTAATGATTTTTTACTAAAAGGTCAGGATTTTTACTCTTTATTGGTTGGCATTATGTGGAGGTTTTGAGAACAAAAATATGCATTCTATGGAGATATACATGAAATGTTCCATCAAATGGCAATGCTAAATGTGTCATAATGACACCGACGTAGATTAAAATTTTAATGCTAATAATGCAAAGGAAGAATATTCTGATATTATGAATACCTATAATGTTAAGGCAACATCAGGTTGATGACTATTTAGACTCAAAATCAACTTGGTCAATTGGCTAAGCAATCCAAGAGAAATATCAAGTTCTATTCCAAAAAGTCATATGTCCCCAGAAAAAAATCTCAATATTAGTTTCCCAAAAAGAAAAAATGACAAAATATTAGGTTTATGCTGGAACATAGAGGGTGATGATTTTATATTTCGGTTCAAATTCAAAAAAGTGTTGAAAATTATTATGACAATTTTTGATCCCATCGGATTCCCATCACCATACATAATACAGTTACCTGATAAAGTTTTCGAGAAATGGAAAAAATGGTGTAAAAATATCGAAAATATTAACAATTTGAAGATCCCAAGGCAATATTTTTCTGTAGTTTGCGATTTCCAAGAAGTCGAGATACTTATATTTTCAGATGCAAGTGATAAAGCTTATGCTCCTGTATGTTATTTCATTTTTACTCTTGAAAAAGAAAAGTTTGTTCCATTTGTTGCCTCAACATGCAAACTTGGTCCTTTGAATAAAATTTCAACAATCCCCAGAATGGAGTTACAAGGAGCAGTTCTGGCAGCACGTCTAGGAAAAATGATCAAAAACGAAACGAGGCATCGCATTTCCAAAATATTTTATTAGACTATCCAAGATGCTGTCAAACTTAAATTAAAATGTCCGCCAAGAGGCACACAAACCTTTTGTTTGCTTGTCAAAGTGACATGTTCTGGATAGGCTAATTCACAGAACTCAAGGATTATTTCAAGCTGGTTAAAATCTGAAAATGGTAGATGAAGCCCACAGATTACAAGGTTTTTGGACGTTGGTCCGGCATAGTTTCTCAGGAAAGAAAATATCTATTGTTGTTGTCAAAATTCTTTCAAATTTTTCGTACTTCTTGACACTTGGTTCGATATCTCCTGCTAAGTTCTTGATGTATTCATTAATGGATTCGTAGTTAGCAATGTGTGATTATGGATAAAAAAAATTCAAAGCCAGTTTTTTGAAGATGATATGGAATTAATAAAATCTGAAATCAATTGAAGAAAAATTCTAAATTATATAAATTCTCCCCATGATGCCGAAATTTTAAGAATCGACAGTAGAATCAAGTATGTGGATATAGAATTTGATTCCAAATTTCCCATAATATTACCACCTAAAGATACAAGATATATTGAGTTGCTTATACAGTAACATGAAAATGTCAAGCACATTGGCCAAGAAACAGTTCTCAACAATTTAAGACAAAAATTTTGAATAATATGTGGTAGAAAAAGTGTTAAAAATGTTATCCGTAAATGTCAATTCTGTAAGATGAAGAGACCTGAAGTTTCACAGCCAGAAATGGCACCATTACCAAAATGCCGGTTAAAAAATTATTGCAGACCATTGAGTTATTGTGGATTAGATTATTTTGGACAAGTGAAAGTAAAAAGAAGCACAGAACAAAGATATGGAGCATTATTCACATGTTTGAATTCAAGAGCTGTTCATATCGAAATAGCAGTTTCATTAAGTACAGATTCTACACTATTGGCATTAAGAATATTCATTGCAAGACGAAGAAAACCACTAGAGATTTACTCAGAAAATGGGACAAATTTTATTGGGGCTGAAAGATAAATGAAAAAATATTTAGACGAAATCGACAAAAACAAAATAATAAGAGAAATGACATTTTTAAATATAAGATAGCATTTTAATCCACCAGGCGCCACTAGTATGGAAGGAGTTTGGAAAAGAATGATATGTTTGGAAAAAAACAATGGAAAATTGCACAAATTATGGCAGACAATTTCTGGAAAAAATGGACAAAGCAATATTTACCGACATTTACAAAAAGACAAAAATGGCATGCTAAGTGAACACCTCCAAAAGTGGATGATATTGGGTGGTATGAATAAAAACGAAGTACATGCTACTACTACAAGTATTAGTATATTCTTCGAAGTATTTACTTCACAAAGAAACATTTACTAATTTCCGGTAATGTCGAAATGTAGTATCTACTTCGTTTTGGAGTAAATACTTCGTAGAACATACTAATACTTGTAGTAGTAGCAAGTACTTCGTTTTTATTCATATCACCCATTGTAGCTTTACCATATACAGGGTGGTCATTTTATCGTGATAACATTTTAAACTGTCATAATTTCTTTATTTTTAAAGTTATTCAAATAAATAAAAAAACATACTGTATGGTTGCTTTCCAAGTTTTGGATAGGATGGACAAAAAACAAAAGACTAATATATTTTGCACACAAAAAGCATTTTTTTAAATGGAAAACCCAGTAAATTTCAAGTTTGTTTGATAATATGTTTCATTCCAATTGCATTATATAAAATACAATACCATTGAATACAATTCACCTTATATTTACATGAAGAGATGTTTCATTTATTCTAACTGCAAATATTGATTACCTACACAGATTACCTGCAAAGGTAGGTAGGTAGACAGAATTTTCCATTAGAATCAATAAAACACTTCTGCATGTAAATATAGAGTAAACTGTATCAAAGTGTATTGTATTGTATGTATTGCAATCAGAATAAAACATATTATCAAAGAATTTAAAAATTTACTGAGTGTTCCATTCAAAAAAATGCTATTTGTGTGCATAACTGTCAAAATATATCAGTCTTTTGTTTTTTGTCTACCCTATCTAAAACTTGGAAACCAACCCTAAAGGATGTTTTTTTTATTTATTTAAATAACTTTAAAAATAAAGAAATTATGACAGTTTAAAATGTTATCAAGATAAAATGACCACCCTGTACAGAAGCAAGAAATAAATGGAAATTAGCTAGAGTGAAAAAATATTTCTTGAAAAAGATAGGCAAATTAGAAGCGTAGAAATTAAAATAACTACTTCTTCACTTGTACGCCCTGTAAATGGATTACTTTAGTTGTGAGTGGGAGAATGTAGCAGATAGAAGAGTTCCCTGTATTTTACCTTTAATTGTTTTTAATTGCTTTGTAAATGTAAAACCTGTCAAGACTGGTCACAATAGTTTCGACCAATGAGTTTCGACAATCAGTTAGAATAGATAGATGAATTGAAGCTGTAACAGTGAGTGTAAATTAATCAAAAACCAATCCAACATCAAATATTTTCCAATTCAGGTTTTTTAGAGCTAGAATTCCTGAAAATTTTTATTCAACATCTCTCACGGATTTTGAGATATTAAAGCTTAAGTGAAAACTAATGTTTTTTCTATTCCAGGCTCTTGAATTTTCGTTTTCGACAATTTCAAGAGCCGGGAATAGACAAAAATGTGCAAGTACCCTAGAAAAACTTTTAAAAAAAACACTGTCCCTTAAACCTCCCATTCCCCAACACACAAAAAACCCATGGTTAGACTATCAAAAAAAAAAAAAAGTTCACATTCAAAATCCGTACCTGCTGCAAATCGCCACGCTGTTGCCTTCGTTGCCCAATTTCAAATTGCCCATCGACACGGCCCTACTGGAATCTTGCCGGGACAAAGGATTCGGGGTGGATTGGGCGGCGATACCTTTGCGAGGCAAGCGGGGCGTGATAAACGAGGCGATTATGTTGGAAATGGTGCGTTCCGAGCGAGGAGGCAAAGGAGACAGTTTGGGAATGATAAAGTCGCTTTTGGAACGGAGCACACCCTCTACTGGAGGCTTGAGGGTTGTGTTTTTTGGTTCTTCTGAGGTTTTTCTTTGCCTCAAATTAAAATCGGTTTTGATGCGTTCCACCACGCTACTAGAAGCACTTTTTTGTAAAGCATTGAAATTTTTGTCAAAGATGTTAGTTTTGGTATAACAACCATTTGGAGTTTCAAAAACTTCATCTAAGTCTTGCTTTTGTGGAGTTAAAAAATCACTTTCAGGTGTAAAAAATACCTCAGAATTGCCATTAAGAATTGGAGCGGATTCAGGTGTATAAAAAGCTTCAGAATTATTATTATTAGGACTAAGTATAGGAGACTCAGAATGAATAGTTGTAGGAATATTCAGTCTGTGTTTGGGAAAAGTGTAGGTCCGATGGAATTTGGTGGAGATGGGCCTGCGAAGCGAATCGTGCTGCAATGCGTTCCTGTCCAACAGGAAGAAATAACATATAAATCAAGTTTTTGATTCGGCTTACGTGCAGTGAAAATGTGTAAGAATAATTGATTAGTATACTATAATATTTATAAAAAGAATACAATTATTATTAATGGAGTTTGATGTCTTTTCAAATTAATCAAGGGTTTTGAATGTGCATGCATTATTCAAAATCCTAATTAAATTGAGAGCCAGCATTAAAAATATGTGCTATTTTCAAATGGTGAAAACCAGAAACTTGTATCTTACATTCTTTTTCAGTTAAAAATTAAGAGGGTCTACATATTTTTGTTCAATTCAACAAGAGTATTAACTCACACATACAAATTCCCCCCCTATATTAATGAATACACTCAAAACCCTAAACACAAATAAATTCTTACCTGATATGTCCAGCTGTTGAATCTCCACTGCTACTCTGCCTACTATGCGATATACTACTATATCCAGACCCTTTGGACATTTGACTTGTATTCGACGAATTCCTACTGTGTCCTTGCTCTTGTAGAGTACCAATACTGGGTTCGCTGAGTTGTTCAGTTGGAACTGAATCGTTGGAATTTTCTTGGGGTGTTGTTGTAGTCGTTTTCAAGCCTGATTCGGTTAGGGTTTGGCCAATAACGAGTTCTGAAGGTAGGGGAGTTCGTTTTTTGGGTAAACTACCGAAACCGGAGCTGCCGCTGTTTATGGAACCCGCCAAGGAGCCGCTGGAAAATTCGTCGGAGCGTTGATCGTTGGAGGTTTCATCCATTGGGATTTGTTTGTGTTTCAGTGATGGGCAGGGCCTGGAATTTGGATTTTAGGTTAAGAAAAATTGAAATTATTAGAAGTTTTTTTTATAGAAAGGTACCTTCTGAAAATTTCATAAAGCATTTCCAAGTAGGTTTATTATAATAGTGAAAATTACATCCCTTCACATTTTGGTATTTTTCTGGAAAACTAGTTTTGGGAAAATTTTGAGACTTTTGGGGTAAAAAGAGAAGAGTTAGATGTTCATTTCTGTGAAATTTCAAATTGATCCAGTGGAAAATAGCTACGAGAGAAATTCATGAAAATTAACTTAAATAATGCAAAAATACACCCTTTCTCATTTTGATATTTTTCTGGGAAATGGAAACTTTGGGGGTAAAAAAAGAAGAATTGGAAGCTCATCTCAGTGAAATTTCAAATCGATCCAATGAAAAATAGCTACAAGAGAAAATCATGAAAATCAATGTGCAAAATCTAAATTAAGCAATCTCTTACATTTCAATATTTTTCTGGAAAACTACTAGAGGAAAAAATATGAAATTTTTAGGATAAAAAGAAGAAAATTAGGAGATCATTATACTAAAATTTCAAACTTTTCCAGTAAAAAACAACATCATTGGAAATTAATTAAAATCAACTTGCAAAATCTCAATTAAGCAGAAATGCAATCTCTTACATTTCAATATTTTTCTGGAGAACTATTGAAGGGAAAATTATGAAATTTTTAGGAGAAAAAGAGGAAAATTAGGAGATCATATTATACAAAAATTTTAGACTTTTTCAGTGAAAAACAACATTATGGGAAATTATTGAAAATCAACTTGCAAAATTTCAATTAAGTAAAAATGAAATCTCTTACATTTTAATATTTTTATGGAAAACCACTGAAGGGAAAATTATGAAACTTTCAGGATAAAAAGGGGAAAATCAGGAGCCGATTATATTAAAATCTTAAATTTTCACAATGAAAAACTACTCTATGGGAAATTAATGAAAATCAACATGCAAAATCTAAATAATCTCTTACATTTTAATATTTTTCTGGAAAACCACTGAAGGGAAAATTATGAAACTTTCAGGATAAAAAGAGGAAAATCAGGAGTTGATTATACTGAAATTTCACATTTTAACCCCATGGGAAATTAATGAAAATCAATATGCAAAATCTAAATGAAGCAAAAATGCAACCTCTTACATGTTTATATTTTTCTGAAAAACCACTGAAGGGAAAATTATGAAACTTTTAGGATAAAAAGAGGAAAATCAGAAGCTGATTATACTAAAATTTTTAATTTTTTCATTGAAAAACAATATGCAAAATCTAAATAAAGTAAAAATGCAATCTCTTACATTTCAATATTTTTCTGGAAAACTACTAGAGGAAAAAATATGAAATTTTTAGGATAAAAAGAGGAAAATTAGGAGATCATTATACTAAAATTTCAAACTTTTTCAGTGAAAAACAACATCATGGGAAATTAATTAAAATCAACTTGCAAAATCTCAATTAAGCAAAAATGAAATCTCTTACATTTTAATATTTTTCTGGAAAACCACTGAAGGGAAAATTATGAAACTTTCAGGATAAAAAGGGGAAAATCAGGAGCCGATTATATTAAAATCTTAAATTTTCACAATGAAAAACTACGCTATGGGAAATTAATGAAAATCAACATGCAAAATCTAAATAATCTCTTACATTTTAATATTTTTCTGGAAAACCACTGAAGGGAAAATTATGAAACTTTCAGGATAAAAAGAGGAAAATCAGGAGTTGATTATACTGAAATTTCACATTTTTTCAATGAAAAATAACCCCATGGGAAATTAATGAAAATCAATATGCAAAATCTAAATGAAGCAAAAATGCAACCTCTTACATGTTTATATTTTTCTGAAAAACCACTGAAGGGAAAATTATGAAACTTTTAGGATAAAAAGAGGAAAATCAGAAGCTGATTATACTAAAATTTTTAATTTTTTCAATGAAAAACAATCCCATGAGAAATTAATGAAAATCAACATGCAAAATCTAAATAAAGAAAAAATGCAATCTCTCACATTTCAATATTTTTCTGGAAAACTACTAGAGGAAAAATTATGAAATTTTTAGGATAAGAAGAGGAAAATTAGGAGATCATTATACTAAAATTTCAAACTTTTCCAGTAAAAAACAATCCCATGGGAAATTAATGAAAATCCACTTGCAAAATCTCAATTAAGCAAAAATGCAATCTCTTACATTTCAACTTTTTTCTGGAAAACCACTGAAGGGAAAATTATGAAATTTTTAGGATAAAAAGAGGACAGTTAGAAGCTCATTATACTAGAATTTCAAATTAATCCAGTAAAAAATAACAACAAGGGAAATTCATGAAAATCGACTTCAAAAATCCAAATTATGCAAAAATGCACCTCTTCACATTTTGATGGTTTTTAAAAAACTGAGACAGGGGAACATTTCGAAACTTTTGGGATGCAACGAGAAAGATAAGATGCTCATTAAAATAAAATAATACATATGTTATTATTCAAAAAAATATTTGACCCAATCAATAATAGAACATTTCCCAAAGCTCACAAAGTTACAAAATAACCTGTTTTCCAAGAAACACTTAGCTGGAAAAACCCACACAATGTTATACAATCAATAATTCAAAAACACAATAATTGTATATACATTGAGTAAACTCAAACCTACTCTTAGCAACATGCAATGCTATTTACATTTCAATCGAGTATAGCTCTATTTGGATTATTATACTTGTGGGAATTTGCTTAATCAAATTACTTACGCTTTGAATACAATATCTCCCGAAATCATATTGAGCTGTATACGGAATTTGAGCATACTATTATCCTGCCTATGCCTTGCATCATATCCTTCCAGTAAGGCCTTTTTATGAATCAAACCCGCTCCAGCGTATTCTGCCAAATTTAGGTCCACAAAACCCAACTGAAATTAGATTTTAGTAAATTTTATATTATAATATAATTAGCTTACTTTAGTGAAACTTCTCCCTCCTTTAGACTCTTTCCTGATGGAGATTCTTACAATGCACTTTTCCATTACCCCAGTTGAAGCATTAGCCATCATTTTGCATGGAAACGAAAATTTCGCCTCCCAACTCACTTTGTGATCTCTAACTTCTTGTCTAGAAATTTCAAAATTAACTTTCAAATAACTTCTTGCCTGGAAATTTTAATTAAAATTATCATTAAAGATAAATAGGATATAAACTCGTCACGTTTGGCAATAATAATAAAAGTGCATCGGAATCGGAACTTCCTGCTGCGCTACTTCCTGTTCGTTTGTGGTTTTGTATGTTTTTTATTCCAGGCATAATCTCATTAATTTATTCCAAGCGGGTCCTCGATAAAGGAAAAGGGACACGAGTGTGCTTCGGGCACAATATCGAATTTACCTGGGCTGTGATAAATAATGCGGGCTAATTTACACGCAGCAGGAATTTCTACAACCTACATTGACTGGAACGAACAAAAATGCCATCCATTGATACTCTTCCAATATTATGAGTAAACTTATTTGCAAATTAAATAAACGTCAATTTGCACAGTTAATATTATCATTGAGGAAATTATTTATTTATTATTATTATAAGCCAATGTGTGTTTATTGTCGAGAGTGTGTGTGTAATCCAAAGCCAGCCAGTCGACCTTACAAGGACGTTAATATAAAATAACTGTTAATAGGTAATTAATTAAATACTAATCCTTAGTCTTTGCAAATGGAAAGTACCCAAAAATATCTCATAAAGATAAGCAAATAGTTGCCTTTGATACTGATAAGAATTCTTTACCGACAACTCAATTATCGATAATGATAATTAGACTTCCTAGAAAATTAATTTGGAACTGCAATTAATTTTAATAATAAAACAGTAGATAAATACAGTGAAAATTTCAAACAAGCATTTCCAACATACTAGAGTCCCTACTGGTAATTTTGTCAGCCATATGGCTTCCACATACAACATGTGGTGAATATTTTAAAAACGAAAATGAATTTTTTTTTTTTTTTTGTATTATATGAGATATAGAGAGGATTTTATTGTGTTATAACATTATACTAGGAAATGTAGGTTTACAGGAAGTCACTTTCTGATATTAAAAACCTTGTAGTTAATTCCAGTGTCCCGAAATTATTAGCCGCTTCCTTTTTTTCGACTGGCGAGACCTATTAAAGTAATTAATATTGATTACAGTAATCAGGATACCGTAGATTTAACCCTCGCGAATTTTTTTTTTTTGATGATCACACAAAGCAATATTATTCAAACCTCATCAGTCATCAAGCTATTTTTGTTTATAGGTAATTATTTCAAAAAAATAAATAAAATGTGATTCATATTATATTTTTTGCCACAAATTACACAAAGCAAAGTGTAGAATCGAAAAAATGATAACAGGTTATTATAGAACCAATTTCAAATATATTTACGACACTGTTGCTGTAACCTTTAATTTCACTGTCGAGGTCGTTTGAAAACCTGATCAAGGAAAATTCAATGGAGTTTGCCTTTTCGATAGTTGAATACAAATGATTTTTATGACTGGAATATGAAATGATAATTGGGTCCAAAATTTGAAACTAAGTCTTAACTTTGAGTCTCAACATCTCGAAAACTATTTGAGATAAAGGATTAAATTTTGTTTTATCTTAAAGAGCATTTAATTCTGATTGAGAATATATAAATATGCATTGGAATTTGTGAAATATTAATTGAGTTATAGGGTCTGTTCCCACACGAGTCTCTGACAGTTTGCAAACTGTCAGTAAGAATCGCCCATACATGTTTTCAATGCTGTCGTTCCAAGATCAATCTGTAACTCAGCTGAGCGATTGTTTCTGACAGGTTGCAAACTGTCGGAGACTCCTGTGGGAACAGACCTATAGGTGATTTTGTGAGGCAATGTCAAACAAAAAATACAAAAATCGTTTTCAGTTTTTTACAGGCTCTAAAACCTGAAAAAGAAAAATCACGAAAATGCTTTTTCACTAGATTTGAATCCCTCTTCCGATTGGTAGAATCAAAAATTAAAAAATCGAGAAAAATCAAAATTGAATTTATTTTTCTAAAGAGTACTTATGCAAAGAAATTTCATTTTCATATATTTCAAATGGCCATATTTTGGAAACCAGACAAGTAATTGGCAAAAAATTTTGTCTAATTGTAGATCTCGATTGGGGCTTCAAAAAACTTTATTTGGGACACCGAGCCCTAAGACTTCATTTTCGAGATAATTGGCTTTGAAAGTTTCCAAGATTTGAGACAATGTTTCAACTTTGAGGCTCAATATCTCAAAAACTATTCGAGATAAATGATTCAATTTTGTTTTATCTTGAAGAGCATTTAATTCTGATTGAGAATATATAAATATGCATTGGAATTTGTAAAATATTAATTAAGTTATAAGTGATTTTGTAAGGCAATGTCGGATGACAAAAAATTTTCAGGCCAAAAAATGCAAAAATCATTTTCAATTTTTCACAGGCCCTAAAATATCAGAAAGAAAAATCACTTTTCCATTGAATTTGACCCCCTCTTTCGATTGGTAAAATTCAAAATTAAAAAATCGAGAAAAATCAAAATCGAAATTTTCCAAGGGGTATGCAAGAAAATTTCACTTTCAAATATTTCAAAGGGCCATATTTTGGAAATCAGAGAAGTTATTGGCACAAAATTTTGTCTAATTGTAGATCTCGATTGGGGCTTCAAAAAAGTTTATCTGGGACACCGAGCCCTAAGACTTCATTTTCGAGATAATTGGCTTTGAAAGTTTTCCAAGATTTGAGACAATGTTTCAACTTTGAGGCTCAATATCTCAAAAACTATTCGAGATAAATGATTCAATTTTGTTTTATCTTGAAGAGCATTTAATTCTGATTGAGAATATATAAATATGCATTGGAATTTGTAAAATATTAATTAAGTTATAAGTGATTTTGCAAGGCAATGTCGGATGACAAAAAATTTTCAGGGCAAAAAATGCAAAAATCATTTTCAATTTTTCACAGGCCCTAAAATATCAGAAAGAAAAATCACTTTTCCATTGAATTTGACTCCCTCTTTCGATTGGTAAAATTCAAAATTGAAAAATCCGAAAAATCAAAATTGAAATCATCCAAGGGGTATGCAAGAAAATTTCCCTTGCAAATATTTCAAAGGGTCATATTTTGGAAATCAGAGAAGCCATTGGCACGAAATTTTGTCTAATTGTAGATCTCGATTGGGGCTTCAAAAAAGGTTATTTGGGGCACCGAGCCCTAAGGATTCGTTTTCAAGATAATTGGCTTTAAAGGTTTTCCAAAATTTGAGATAATGTTTCAAGTTTGAGGCTCAATATCTCAAAAAACTATCCAAGATAAATAATTCAATTTTGTTTTATCTTAAAGAGCATTCAATTCTGATTAAGAATATACAAACATGCATCAGAATTTGTAGAATATTTATGAGTGATTTTATGTAATCTTTATACGAAATGAACTTACTTCTCAATAATAGGTACCTAATCAATAAATTAATAAAGTTATATTTTCGAGTAAAATTCTTACCTGCTACTGTAATCCAAAAAATTCCCGCCATCTAAAAGTCTCAACTTGGCAAAAAACACCGCTGACACAAACGGTACTTCCAGTAACTCTTCCAGACATATTTCCACTTGAAACTTGTATTTCTTTTTCTTCGACATGAATGATGTCATATTTGGGAAGTTCAACTGAGGGAAGCTTTAAAAAAATCCTGGTGGTCTGAAGCGTGGAATTTCAGGACATTGTTTTGGAAGTTTGTAATGTGTGGAAGAAAAATGTGGAAGCGAACTGAAATTAATAATAAATTGTTTGTAATTTGGTTGGAACATTTCCAAGGCGTATTCGTCAATAATTATTTCTAGAAAAAATTGCAATAAATTCTAAAATAGTACAACGAGTGGGCAGGAAAGTGAATCTCTGATGGATTTCGTAGTTGCATTGCTCTTGATATTCAATTATCACTTATTTTTCAAGGTTAATTATTTAAGGCAATAGAAAAACTAGCACAGATGACCAAGTCAGGGTTAGCAAGTCTGTGTGTGTAATTTTTATTCAGATCAGCAATGTTTTTTGTTTTAAAAGTCTAAATTTAACCTACGGAAGCGAGGGCAATAAAACAGGGAAAATTACATTGCTGAAATACTACACCAAAAATAACTCCCTTTGCATTAAATTCCTTTTGATACGAGCAACATTCTGTATTCAAATAGAACATTCCTTTCAGTTGATTTTCAAATAACCAAACTCTGGGAACTGTGCAAAATTAATCATTTGCCCTATTATAAGGCATTTAATAGAGGTCAATTTTTGCTTGCTACCTGAAAATTATGAAGCAACAATATCGATCTTGTGATACAAGTTGAACTTATTTTTAATATATAGCACATTACTTATTGGATGTCGTCCAAACATATGGTAAGTTGTTTTAATTGGAAAAATATTTGAGGAAAATAATTGTCGCGGCATTTAATTTTAGCTGTTTTAATGACCTATAAGAGTTCTAAAATTATCCGAAAGCCAATTTATCTAAAAATATGAAATGTAGTGCCGTCAATTTCTTGAAAAATAATTATGGCCCGAATTGTTTACGTATGGCCAAATGGTTTTCCTGTTTAACTACACTGTAGTTTATTTATTTTGCTGGAATTAGATTTATTCGTTTTGCACTTGTTCTTGTTAATTCTTGGTTTAACAGGTTTTCTGCTAGCTTTTTAGTCAGTTATAATTGCCAATTAATACTTGATAATAAGTTCTTAATTATTTAATTGATACCGAAAATATTGAATTCACATTCTACAGATTGGGTAGATATGTACAGTTGCGAACAAAAAAAAAAGTAGTACAAAAATTATTAACCCCAATTTGAGCTCCCGGTGTAACATACAAAATTTTGACAGGCAATAATGACATATTTTAGGTTAAAAACGGGTGGACAAATGCCAAAGTAAAGTCATCTGAAGCTTTCTAGGTTAAAAACTTGTCGAAAAATGCCAAAAAAATGTCATTTTTGGTTATGAATTTAATTAATTTATAATAGACCAGGAGATTTTGGAGATTTTTCTTGTACTACTTTTTTTTTGACCGCAACTGTACCTGATTACGACCAATTAGGGTCATATTTACATCAAGAGAAGTAGCTCACACATTTTTAAAACAGAGGAGTAAACTCCCAAATAAAAATTACTACATAAAGTTTAACCAAACTGTAGCGCAGAGGAAAAATATCTAAAGCAAATTTATGAAGAACTAAACCGAGAACTAAACGAAAAGAAAAACAAAGGGGAGGATGATCTTGTAATTAAGTATGTATCATAATGGTACTCCCAGAATAACCAAAGTTAAACAAAGCCATTCAAAAAACTGAACACAAATGTATCTGAAGTATTGTTCCTATACACCAACACTTGTTCTATTCTGTTGAAGTTTGATGAATTCTACGCTGAAAGTCTACTTAAACAACCAACTTTTATTTTAGTAAAAGAGTCCTCGCTACACAAGGAAGTTTCTGATGCAATGGTAGGCATACCAAATTATTTTCTATTTCGAAAAAACAGAAAAGGGGTGGAGTTATAATTTATGTACGTAAAAGCCGAGGGGTTTTTCACCTAACAAAATTTGTACAGTACTAACTGAGATATTTCCATGTATTAACAGATATTTCCATGTACCTAATAACAAGTTATTGCCAACTATTTCCATGTATTAACAAAATATGTCCACATATTGCCAGGTATTTTCCTAGTATTTATCACACATTACCAGGTATTGCCATGCTATTGACAGACTAAAATCAAATATTTGTCTTGACAGAATTCTAGGTATTGACATATCCATGTTATTAATGGGTATAAACCAATGACATTAACATATATTACCTAAATAATTAACAAGTGGGTATTGCATAGTATTGACACTATTGACAAAGTATTTACCTACCTGGTATTGACCAGTGATTCGTACACCGATTAACAAGGTGAAAAACACCTCGGTAAAAGCACTGCAGGTGTCAAACCCACAGTAGCATTGAACCAGAGATTCCAACCCTCACAATTCTGCACAAACCTTAAAATTTGTGCATAGAATCCGAAATTTGTATATTGAGTGGATTCAAAATCGTTCATGGGACAGAGTTAGAACAGACCTATTATCAACTTCTTGAATTTTATGAATTAAAATTGAATTAAAATAATATTGACATATTAAATAAATATTAATTCCAGAAATAATAACTCTTGTATGATATCCGAGGGGTGTGACACTTCCTAGTATTTTATACATCTGATTTCTGATTTTCATTACTTTAATGGAAATCAGAAATTAGATTTGGTAAAATTTCACGATTTCACTTGATTTCAACAATTTCCTCAGATAATATTTGATTTTACTTAATTTTGCTGATTTCACTTGATTTTGTAAATTTCATTGATTTCCCTGATTTACATTGATTTCGCAAGAGTAAATGTGATTTTACTAGATTCACACAGATTTCATGATTTCAGTATCCAGGTACCAGAGGTCGAGATCTAAATTATTGTCAATGACTCATGCCATTAGCAACGCTATATCAAATTGGGGCATCATAACGAAGTCGAAAATTTTTACCGTGCCAATACTGCCGTTTTACAAAAATTACATCATGTTGTGGTATGAGTGATTTCGATCTTGGCGAGGACCTTGGGTATAGGCGAGGAGATAGCTGACACAAAATGTGTACACTGACTGCCAAATTCCACAATCATCAAGGGGACAACACTCCATGTACAAGGTGTCCCATTTTGGTTGTATATAAGGTATATCTCAGTTGTTGTTGAAGTTAGAAGAATGCGGCATGAATGCGGTTTTCGCGAACGTTGGCTACTTTTCTGTCAAATAAAAGATGCCGTCAACAAAATTGTCATTGCCCTTTTTGTTTTTCAGATACAAATTTGAAAATTTTCCTTTTTGGATATCCTTTGTATCTTGGTTCTCTCATAAGTTATCGAGAAGGTGACAACGGGTTCTTATAGATCTTTCTACGTAGATTCCAGTGGCAAAGTCAGTTTTTCTCTAGAAGTGATAGTTTTTAAATTATGAACCAACCATACGTTTTTTCGAATGAAACACCCTGTGTATTAATAACCCATTGGGTACATTCAGGCGGTGCCAGTGGCTGAGCTCAGCCACTCAGCAGGAACTTTATTCTTGAAACAGGGAAGCAGCGTTCTCATGAGAACGAAGGTTCCTTCTTCGTCGTCCGTATTCATATTTCCATAACACTGACAATGAGAGAATAATCGTTCTCATGAGAACGCTGTTCCTATTCTATGGCTGTTCCTCGGTTTCGGGAATAAAGTCCCTGCTAAGTGGCTGAGCTTAACCGCTGGCACCGCCTGAATTGGAAAGCTCTGCTTTTATTGATTTCAATGTCATAAAAATATATATCTAGGTTTGTTACCTATGTCTGTTTTGTCATAAGAAACAATTTTTTAAAAAAGGACATTGCATCTGTAAGGAAAATGAGAAAGGTCTTTTTCTAATAACACATTGTTTCTTATGATAAAAACAGATCAAATTTTTTTGCTGGAAAACTTTTAGGGACTCGGTTAGAGATAAACCTATCGAACTTTATATCATTGAAATCAGCAAAAGCAGAGCTATCCAATGAGTTTATAATATATAGGGTGTATCATTTGAAAAAACGTATGTTTGGACTGTTTGGTTCATAATTTAAATACTGTCACTTCTTCGCATTTAAAAGATCTTCGGATGGAAAATGCAGCCCTGATGCAATTCTGACGCGTTGCTATGACAAAAGTGACAGACTCTCAGATAAAAGTGTAGTAACAATATGGCGGAAGTGGATACACTTTTTTCTTTTCCCCCCATTTCGCCTCCTTATTATTCTACCTCAATGCCCGAAATGCAACATTTTCAAAAACACCTTGTATCTGAAAAGCAAAAAGAGCGATGACAATTCTCTGTTAGCACCATCTTTCGTTTGATAAAAAAGTAGCCAGCGTTCGCGAAAACCGTATCCTTTTAACTCCAATAGCAAAGGAGTTACCCTCAGAGTTACCTATACAGTACACGCTCTATAATATGAACACTCGTATAAGTGAACAATGCGGTTTTGTGAACACAATACTTTGTATATTGGGTACTTTATAATGTGAACTGTAAGTCACTCGATAATATGAACAATTGGTCAATATTAAGATCAATATGTTTCAAATGGATTACTTTGGCGAATTGAAAGTTTCATTTGATTGGGTTGCTGTTTTTTAGCGTGTCTGAACGAGAATTTTCCAGCAACCACGTGATAGTGGCTGTGCAACTTTTCCTTTCCACTTGATCTATTAGATTTGGAAAGTTCTCACAGGATATTTCATACAGCTCCGCGGAAAAACAACTAGGTATGGTATACCTCACTTCCCATCTTTGCAGTGGGCATAAAGGATTTATTTGATATTGGAGAGATTTTCACAGAAATCACAAACCAGCCAGAGCGTTTTTGATTGGTGCAAATTGCTAACAACCAATTTTCTGACTACATATTTTCAACCAATGAAATTTGCTCTGACTTGTTTTGTGATTTCTGTGAGAATACTCACATCTATAGTTAGCGTTTAGTGTACTTTTGTTCAAACTTTCCGATAAATAATAATATGTACATTTTTGTTCAGTTTAAACAGAAAAAAAAGAGACTAATGTAAACAATAAGTAATGTGAAAAGGGTCTGTACTTTTCGTGTTTACATTGCCGAGCTTGTACTGTATTTTTCAATTTTTAGTGTGGTTATTTTTATTTTTGGGAAATAATCCATAACAAGACCCTTTTCAAAAAATAGGCAACCAAAGAAACAGCGGGGTGCTGTTGCCACCTTAAAGAAATTTGCTAAGATTATGAATGATTGGGTACATTCAGGCGGTCCCAGCGGCTTAGTTCAGTCACTCGGCAGGAACTATATTCTCGAAACAGGGGAGCAACGTTCTCATTGGAATGAAGGTTCTGTCTTTGTCGTCCGGCATAACACTGACAATGACAGAGCAATCGTTCTTATGAGAACGCTGTTCCTTGGTTTCGAGAATAAAGTCCCTGCTGAGTGGCTGAACTAAGCCGCTGGGACCGCCTGAATGTACCCATTGTGTCACGATTGTGTAATAATTGGGCAAGAATAAACAACCTCGAAAACAACAAAACATCGAAGGCGCGAATTTTGAATATTTTATTGGAGAGGTACTGCTTTAGAAAACAACGATTTCAGGATTTCAACAAATTTTATGTGATTTGTGATGATTTTAGGTGATTTACAGAGATTTTCTTGATTTCGATTGATTTTTTGGATATAATTGATTTGCATTGATTTTAAATGATTTTAGGGGATTTTTCAAGATTTTTTTGATTTAAAGGGATGTGATTTTGCTTGATTTCACAGATTTCAATGATTTCTATTGATTTATGTGACTTTGAACAAAGTGTACACCTGATTTCAGGAGTGTCACACGCTTCAATGATATCTAAACACTGGGTTTAACTAACGTGGAAGTTCATTATATTATTATTTTTGAGGCTAATAACTGTATTGACATTTTTAATAATAAGGTACCTAACCCAAATAAGGCCATGTACCATCGTCACCAAAAGTATCTGGGACACAAATAATGCATAATAATCTCCTGGACTAATTCTACTGTTATTCATTTTAATGCATTTAATTTATAGTTTGACATATATTTGACAACAAAATTCATATAATAGGACAAGAGCTAATGTGATGCTGTCCCAGTTACTTTTGGTGATGATGGTACCTAATAAGGCCAGTGCCCTTTATTGCTTAATATTGAATCCCATTTTCAAAAATTACAATATTATTAACACATTCGCGGACAGTACGGCCGAAGCCGTCATATTCTTCTCCCTTGCTTGGGACATGACGTCTATAGCAGTCACCTCAATTTTCTTCTATAAACAAATAACGGCTCTAGCCGTCTTTGATCCCATATAGCTACATGTATTTTCAATTTATTAGTCCTGCCACAGTATCTATTCACCTCAAAATTGTCCAGTTCACGGCGAAAAAAACACACCAAACATGGGAATACAAAGAAATCTATAATGCAAACCAAAAAGCATTGCAACTCGTCATATGTGGAAAACTGGCCAACCACATATTTCATATGTCATGTTATAACTTTGAGGCTGGAAATCAATTAGCTTATATACGTGTTTATAAACTGAATGGAGCGATTGTATTTTTTTAACAGACATTCATGTATTGAGAAAGCTACACAGTAAGTACAGGATAATATCTTTGCTGGATTTCTAGTTACGGACTTTTTTTAATCAATTTAATATGTTCCTAATAAGGCCATCATACGAAAAAATGTTCAATTGGCCTCACATCACAGTGTTTTTTCAAAAGAATGTGTCATATTATTACCTGAGTGATGTTTTTTGAAATGCCTGGAGTCTAACCAAGCAAAAGATGCTACGGTTCATTTGTCATAGTTGTGTGTAGACCTATTTGGATCACTATCCCAGGAATGCAGCGAACGTATAAGTTCTATTTTGTGTACTATTTCTAAAATAATATTTTTAAAAATAATTGTATTTATTTTAAACATTTTTTAATGGTGGCCTTATTAAGAGCATAGTGATCCAAATAAGGCCAATGGCAAGCGTTTTTGTTTTACGCAAAAACCACCACTTGAATGAAAAAATAAATAAATTGCAGTTGATATTCAAGTGATAAAAGGAAAACACTTCACATATAAGCTCGTGATTTTTGTTGGGTTTGGTGGATAATGTTAGGAAAAAATAAAACTCCTTAACGTGGCCTTATTTGGGACAGGTACCTTATATCATTTTGTTTTCATTTCAATAGAATTATTTATTTTTTCACATTAATGTGTGAGCCAAATATCAAATTTAAAAAATTTAAATGTTTGTTTGTTGAAAACATGTCCAATATACTAAAAATAATAGGTAAAAAACAGCATAATATTTTCTCACAGCTAATAATTCCTGGCAAAGTTGATGTTTTTTTTCTTTGAAAATTCCTCTGTTGATGACCTTTTGCTGGCAAAAACCCGGATTTTTGAAAATTTCTATTGGGTTTTTGTGTTTACTTAATAGACAAAATTGTATATTTGTTTCAACGGTTTTACTGAGAAGCTTCAAAATTGAATTTATCGAACATTGAAAATTTTCCAAAAATAACACTGAGACAGTCTTTGCCTCACAGTTCTTTTAATTCTCATTTGATTTTAACGCAATTAGGCTGCAATTGAAGCCAATTAGAGACCTATTAATTAAGATTTTAATTTAGTTTCAAAAGTTTTGCAGCTGAGAAGCTTCAAAATTGAATTTATGGAACATTGAAAATTTTCCAAAAATTACACTGAGACAATTTTTGCCCCACAGTTTCTGTAATTTTGATCCGATTTCAACGTAATTAGGCTCCGATTGAAGCCAATTAAATTCTCTTCAAACCTGGTAATCAAGATTTTAATTAAATTACAATAATTTTGCGGCTGAGAAGCTTCAAAATTAAAGATTGAAAATGTCCAAGAGACAGTTTGCTTCACAACTCCTTTAATTTTTATCAGATTTCAACGCAATTAGGCTCCAATTGAAGTCAATTAAATTCTCTACAACAATTTACTATGGTTTTTTTAAACGCCAACCCTGACTTTGAGGCAGATTTTAATAACATTTTGTGGGGATTGAGTTAAAGTTTCAAATTTTTAAAATAAATAAGCGTATTTAACACATAGTCTATTATCAGTTATCACTACAATGTGGCAAATTGGATAATTTATTTCCAAGTTGTAAAATTTACCATACAAACAATACATGTAATTCATCATGCATAGAATATGGTTTGATATTTCCTATCTAACAAAATATGGAATGGTGTGTTGAAAAGATAGATAGAATTGGAACAAATTAATAGAATAAACTATTATGTTATGTATTACAGAGTGTATTACCTAGTAGTAGTACCTACTTGTTCTATTATTTTTACAAATATGTATAGTTAACTGGGTCCAAGGGCAATTTTGGAATCTTAATAATACCTATAGGACTTATTGGGACAAAGAAAATTTCTCGAAAAAAAATTTGAATAAGAATCAAACTTCTGGCAACTTCTATTTATGATTATTTACAAACCAAATTCTTTAAAATCCAAATTAATTAGAAATCAAATCCACACTCCCCCTAAAAAAGTTTCTTTTCTTTTAACTGCCTCAAAAACATGAGCCAGTTTAAACAAACCTAATTAAAACTAAATAATAAATTCATTATTTAATTACCTGAATAGATGTTAAAAAATAACTAAGAAATTTAGCATAGGGACAGTGAATTAATTAAAAAACACGAAAAATTCAAGACTCCTCAAAACTAAACTACACAGACACTCATAACGCCATAATGGTTGACAACAAACTGACAAAAAACTGACGTCCACCTGGATATGACGTATGACGATTTTCATATTATCTCTTTTTATCTTATATAGGAAAAGAGCACATATAGTTTTTGCGCTGTTGTCAAATATTTATTGACATAATTGGAACAAAATAAATAATACATTTGATTGTTTCTGGCTTTGGGATTCATAAAAATGAGCTAAAAGTATTAAAAAACTGCTTCAAATTACTCGAAATTTTGTCCAGGCTAGATGATTTCATAGTTTTCAACATCAATTTGTTTTTGAACATTCGGCAACAGCGCCCAAACAACATGAAGAGTGACATTTTGAAAACCTAACCTAGAATTTTATTATTTACATTTTATTTTACAAGAAAATACTACAGTAAACACAAAAATGCTAATAACATTCCATTATTTCGCATTACTAGTGTACGAGCTACTAAAAAACCGTAAAAGACTCAAAAAAATTATCGAAAATCCAGTGGCAGACCACGAAACCCAGCTAAAATTCCACCCTCCAGTATTCAAGCAAAGACTATCGAAAGTTTACCAAACTTTGATAGAGGAGAAATGGAGAAACGATTTGAAAAAACTGGTGGATTTCGGTTGCGCCGAGTTCGACTTGTTTATGTACTTGAAGAACCTCAATATAGAAGAAATCATGTTTGTTGACATTGATGAAACTTCCTTAAAGGAGAATTTGGGTAATTCAAATTCTTTATTATCCAAATGAGCTGAAATTTTCAGAGATTGTAGTCCTTCACGATGATAAGAATCGCTGAAAATTTAAGCTTTGTATCTCTAATAGAAAAAAAGTTGATGAAAATAATTTTTCAAAGTTTTCCAAAATCCAAATCATTAGGTACTCAGTACTAAAACGATGAAATTCCATTTTTTTTTTTGTTGAGATTTTGTGTCCTAATGGTCCTTTGGGATCCCCCAAATTCCATACACTAAATTATTCTCAAATTTGAAGCCGAAATCTATGAAAAAAGGCACTCAGAAAAATTGAGAAATTGATAAATCACCCCAAATTGCTTAACACGATTTTATCTCAGGAACTATAAGTCCAAATGAGTTGACATTTTCAGGGATTGTTAGTGATGTGAACAAGGGAATTTTCGGGGATTGTAGTCCGCTACTGAAATAAAAATCGCCGAAAATTTCAGCTTTATATCTTTTATAGAAAAAAAGTTATGTCCTTCCAAAGTTTTCCAAAATCCAAATCATTACTCAGTACTAAAACGATGAAATTCCATTTTTTTTTTGTTGAGATTTTGTGTCCTAATGGTCATTTGGAATCCCACAAACTCCATACACTAAATTATTCTCAGATTTGAAACCGAAATCTATGAGAAAAGGCACTCAGAAAAATTGAAAAATTGATAAATCACCCCAAATTGCTTAACAAGATTTTATCTCAGGAACTATAAGTCCAAATGAGTTGACATTTTCAGGGATTGTTAGTGATGTGAACAAGGGAACGTTCTGATTGTGCTTTCGAGAACATTTGCGAACGTTCGCGCACAAAAAAAAGGTTCGTGCTGAATATTACCTTCGGAGTACAATGAGCATGATAGAGAATATTCAGCACGTTCTCAAGCACGATCCTAACCAATAAAATCACATGACGCCATAGAGTAGAGATATATTTATGGAAGCTGTTGAAGGCGAAGATATATCGAATATTGAGCCCGAGAACCAGGAAGCAACTTAGCAGCAATAGTTTTTTTTTTTTGGAAGCAAATAGTAATAGTAATAGTAGTAGTAATAGTATATTTCAGACTTAAAACAGAGTTTCATAGCGTTATCAAAATCTTAAAACTAGGTTACAATCAATTACAATTACAATTAATAAAATACTATATAATGGGTATATCACATCTGTATAAAAAATTTTAAACATTATAAAAGGACAGTACTAAGTAACTATGAACGGTTAAGACTATTCAAAACAAGACAAGGTAGCGTTGTACTGGAATATACTCAAACTAAAATCACTATTTTATTTTATTATCAAAAAAAAAAAAGAATCCTAATGATAATTGTATGTTGAAGTTTCACAGAAAACCCCAAATTAGAATAATAATTATTGTTATCAAACATGACACAAGACACAATTCACAAATTATGTGATTAATTATGTATTAAGTAGGCATATTTTCCTAAGAAGTTTGAGAACTTTCAGCACATTTATCAAGAATTTTCAGAACTTTCACGAGAAATTTGGGAATTTCGGGAAATTTGAGAAAAATCAGAATTTATTTAGAAAAATGTTTTGTTTTATTCAGCTTCTGATAAAAAGCATAAATTCTCGGGTCCTGCTCGTTTTTGCTCGTTTATTCTCGTTAATTCTCGATCCTGCTCGGAGAGCGTTCTCCTAAAATACTTGCTCGAGCATTTTACATCACTAGGGATTGTAGTCCTCTACTGGAATAAGAATCGCTGAAAATTTCAGCTTTATATTGTTAATAGAAAAAAAGTTATGACTTTCCAAAGTTTTCCAAAATCTAAATCATAAGGTAGGTACCTTCTTACTGAATGGATGAATTTTCAAATTTTTTTTTGTTGAGATTTTGTTTCCTAATGGCCATTTGGGATCCCACAAACTCCAAACACTAAATTATTTTCAGATTTGAAGCCGAAATCTATAAAAAAAGGCACTCAGAAAAATTGAAAAATTGATAAATCACCCCAAATTGCTTAACACGATTTTATCTCAGGAACTATAAGTGCAAATGAGCTGAAATTTTCAGGGATTGTAGTCCTCTACTGAAATAAGAATCGCTGAAAATTTCAGCTTTATATCTTTAATAGAAAAAAAGTTATGACCTTCCAAAGTTTTCCAAAATCTAAATCATAAGGTAGGTACCTTCTTACTAAATGGATGAATTTTCAAATTTTTTTTTGTTGAGATTTTGTTTCCTAATGGCCATTTGGGATCCCACAAACTCCAAACACTAAATTATTCTCAGATTTGAAGCCGAAATCTATAAAAAAAGGCACTCAGAAAAATTGAAAAATTGATAAATCACCCCAAATTGCTTAACACGATTTTATCTCAGGAACTATAAGTCCAAATGAGCTGAAATTTTCAGGGATTGTAGTCCCTTGATTGGGATAAAATTCAGTGAAAGTTTCAGCTTTCTATCTATAATAGAAAAAAAGTTATGACCTTCCAAAGTTTTCCAAAATCTAAATCATAAGGTAGGTACCTTCTTACTAAATGGATGAAATTTCAATTTTTTTGTTGTTGAGATTTTGTTTCCTAATGGTCATTTGGGATCCCACAAACTCCAAACACTAAATTATTCTCAGATTTGAAGCCGAAATCTATGAAAAAAGGCACTCAGAAAAATTGAAAAATTGATAAATCACCCCAAATTGCTTAACACGATTTTATCTCAGGAACTATAAGTGCAAATGAGCTGAAATTTTCAGGGATTGTAGTCCTCTACTGAAATAAGAATCGCTGAAAATTTCAGCTTTATATCTTTAATAGAAAAAAAGTTATGACCTTCCAAAGTTTTCCAAAATCTAAATCATAAGGTAGGTACCTTCTTACTAAATAGATGAATTTTCAAATTTTTTTTTGTTGAGATTTTGTTTCCTAATGGTCATTTGGGATCCCACAAACTCCAAACACTAAATTATTCTCAGATTTGAAGCCGAAATCTATGAAAAAAGGCACTCAGAAAAATTGAAAAATTGATAAATCACCCCAAATTGCTTAACACGATTTTATCTCAGGAACTATAAGTCCAAATGAGTTGTAATTTTCAGGGATTGTAGTCCTCTACTGAAATAAGAATCGCTGAAAATTTCAGCTTTATATCGTTAATAGAAAAAAAGTTATGACCTTCTTACAAAACCGATGAAATTTCAATTTTTTTTTTTTGTTGAGAGATAAAATTGTGTATGGAGGACCTTAATACACCAGTTATATAGCATTTTAACTATTGAGAAACAATCTCTGCTAGTTGGGATGGTACCAACTTACTTTTTAGTGGGAATCAATCAAAGAAAGTAGTAGATTCCACCTGAAATTCTATTTCTAATCAACATTGTAATAAGGTACCTACCTTATAATTCCAAAAAAAAATCAATTTTGGAATTTATTGGCATTTTTTGGAATTTTTTGTAATTATGAAATACCGCTAATGCGGCTCTGGACTACCACAGATTTGGAAAATCGAGCCGGATTCAGACTATGTAACAAAACATGTTGATAAAAGAGGGGTACAACAAATAACTTCCTTTCATATTCATTCATTCAAATAATTATCAAAATCAATATTTCCAACAGGAAAACTGGAACCCTTTTTGGTAGACAGACTGAGAAGACGCAGCCACCCTTTGGAAATTTTAGTTTTTAGAGGCAGCGCAGTTGATCCCGATTATAGACTATGCAAGACTGATGTAGTTACAGCTATAGAATTGTAAATACAAACACATAATATGTTAATTTAAATTGCATAATATTATTTTTCATTGCAGAATAGAACATTTGTATCCTGACACTCTAGAGGCTTTACCCTACAATATTTTTTCATTTGTAAAACCAAAACTAGTAATAATAACCACACCAAATGCGGATTTCAATGTGGTCTTTGGAAGACCAGGTTTGAGACATCCCGATCACAAATTCGAATGGACAAGGCAACAATTTGAAGATTGGGCCACAAATATTACTCAGCAATTCACTGATTATAGCGTTGAATTTACTGGAATAGGTAAACTGTTAAATCAGCCTGAAAACATTGGGCATTGTTCGCAAGGTGCGATTTTTATCAGAAAAGATTTGTTAAATGAAAAATACATATCACCTATTTATGCTAGAAAGTGCCAATGTGATAACAGTAGTCCCTGTAAGGGTCAAACCACTGAATGCAAACTACTCTGTAATTGTGTTTGTGCACTTTGTCTTCCAGATTTTAGTGTAGGCATTTGTAAATATTTCAGCTGCAATGTTGAAGAATTTGAAGCTTATAGGCCAATGAAAACTTGGCCAAAACTCGAAACACCAAGTGATACTGAACCAAAACTAGAATTATTTTCTAATGTTGATAATTATTGCAATGATACTCTAATTAATCCTTTGTATAATATTTTTTATAAGTTAATAATGAAAATTGATTATCCATATGAGTTGGATACAAGATCTGAAACTGAACGACTGATGGAGACATTTAAATACAGAATAAATAATTTTACTAGTTTTAATAATAGGTTTTACAATGAGAAAACTGGACAATGTGAAATACCTTTAATAGATATTATGTATGGGGATATTTGCATTTCTAATGAGGAAATAAGGTAACACCTGCTATTGTCATAATTAGTAATTTTTCTTGGCATTTAAATCAAAATTTCTAGTACTTATTCATTATTTTAGCAATTTATTGTGTGAGGCAGGTTATAAGCTGGAAAAATGCATAACTCCACAAACAGGCGAGCCTGAACTTTGTATTATATCCATACCGCATGAAATGGATGATATTGAAAATACTTCTGAAGAAACCGAAGAATACCCTAATAATTCTTTAAGGTAATGATTTTAATTAATAATAAATTTATTGTATTAATTGAATTATTTTAGTGATGAAACTTCAAATATAGACCATAACATTGATCCAGGAAACTTATCAGATTGGGACGAAACTCCTCATGTCAGCGCTACTGCATCCACAATCCAGCCAAAACCCAATCCAGATCCGCTATTCGATTCTGGATATTTGAATTCGCCTTCGCCGGTAGATGCTGTGGCTCAAGAGGAAACTGACGATCAATTTGAAGAAGCTACTTCTAGTTTCAGCGTGGGTGATAAAAAAAATGCTGTGCCAAGGCCTTTGCCTATTATTATGACTACTACCAAGTAAGAATTTTGGTTTTTGGTTCGACACGATTTTATCTTAAGTAGAAGTTTTTAACAAGTAGAATTCAATTTTGAGGCTTGATTGCTCAAAAAGTATTTGAGCTATCAAACTAAATTTAGCACAGATTTATAGAGAATTTGATGCTCTTTCCAGTAGTGTATATTTTATTTTGATTAGTTCAGATTTCAATGGAAACATTGGCAATTTTTCTTAAACTTGTCATGATTTAAAAAAAAAAAAAATCAGATCCGAGAAAATGAAATTTTCTTTTTGACTTTTTTTTTCTTTAAATTTGTAAATGATAAATTGATCATTTGAACAATTCGAAAAACCATAATTTATTTCAGTTATAGGAAACACGATCCGCATAAAAACGAACTGGACCGTTACCACAACATGGCGATCGAACATAGAACTCATAATTTCGAAGAATACCACGAAGCAGTTCCAGGCCCTTCTTGTAGCCTTCCAAAACCCAAAAAATTAAAACCCAAATTTGAAATGAAACTATTCAAAGAACCCACCATTGTTGACGATGCAAAAAGCCTGGCAAATATAATCGTACAAAATAGTTTAAATATAATTGACGAAGATGATTTGGAAATTGTGGCACAATCTCCTTTGGAAATAATGGATTTTTTACAAGAAGAAGAACCTCAAGAGGTATTGGTACCTGTTGTTGAGGCAATGGAAAATGGCGATTTGGCCAATAACAACAGAGACAACGAAGGCAACAATTTGGAACACAACCAATTAGAAATGGAGGTAGATGAAGGCATTGACTTATTAAATGACAATTTGGAAGAAATTATTGCACCTAATAATGTGAATTTACAAGAAAATAACAATGATTTACAAGTTGAGGCACCTGCCGAAGAATTTTTGCCAGTGGAAATTGTTGAAAATGAAGCAGCACCCTTAAACGATTTAGAAGTAAACACATTACGAAAAACAACAATTGTAATAAGGTTATTTATTTTAGAGTAGTAGCGAATCTTTGGCTGAGGCAAGTAGAGAAGCATTGTTTGACGAAAATTCAGAACCAGACCTTTTAGAAGACTTTGACATTATGATGCCTAATGACGATCCAGTTTGCGATCGTATACGTTTAATACAGACTTTTGGTTCTGGAATTACATTGACAAGGATAGGACCTTTACCAGAACCACCAGGTAAAAACCAACTACAACTTGAAAATTATACTCATCCTTGTTTGATTTTAGCCGCAATGGAACATGAGTTTCCTGATTGGCTACTGCACCTTTTGGGCAATCACATTCCTGAAGAATCTGAAAACGGAATTGAAACTAGTCGTTTTACGTCATACTGTTACTGTCAAGGCGACGGACTAGGTAAGCAAAATACAAAATTGCCAATTAAAACTTATTCAGCTGCAGATCCTTATTCAGGTGTCCATCCGTCAGTGGATGAAGCGGATGATGAATCTGAAAGTAGCGGTACCATATCAAATAATTCACAAGATTTTGCTGAAGTTGATCCAGGGCCTTCAGATATGTTCGATATGAGTAGTTTACCAGAAGATGCTTCTATAGGAGTTTCTATAACAGAAGATAAAAGTTTTAGTCATGATACAGAGGCTTTTATTGAAGACATAATTAAATTAGCCGAAGAAGAAGTTTCTGCAATATTAGTTGACACTAATAATAAGACTCCCTGTGGTAGTTTACCAGGCTGTTCTGATTCTGGACAGTACAATGTACCGCCTACTCCTAATAATAGCTTGAGTCAAGATGACGCCAGTTATTCTTTACCGACAATTGGTAGTTTTAGCAGTTGGGTACATCTGAAACCAAAACTTGAAGACGAGGTGGCTTCTAATAAAAAAGATCTTGATTGAGTTGGAAATTTGAGTATTATTTCTTTTTTGTTTCTAAATAAAGTTTGAAACAGTTAGTTTGTGTGTGTATGAAATATTAGAATTAATTTATCCGAGAGGTTTTTGATAATAAGGTCCAGTTGATTCACCTTTAGCCAATGCAATTTGACGGATAAAATTGCAATTTATTGGGCGGCCAGTTACCGATTGACCAAAACGATTATAGATTGGTAGATTTATGTTGCGGATAGCTACCAGCAAGTTATTCTGAAGATGAATAAACCGGGCCTGAATCTAATAGTTAATTATTTATACTGGTTAAATCTCATCTCGTATAAAAGATTTTTTAAAATTGAAGCATCCATTAAAATTGTAGAGAAATCGCAATTCCTTTGGCCTTTCAATTTTGTTTCTGTGCAAGGGCTGAAATTTCTTCTGCTACCATGCGTAAAGTACTTACTTACTTCACACACTCTTCAAAAGATGTACGCCAAGGGCGTCCATAGAACATTTTTCAGGGGGGGGGCAAAAACCTGACTTTTTTTAAATAAGACAATTTATGTAGGTAACCATACGTATATTACTAAATCAACATAAGCAGTCTAAACCATGTCTAAACCACTCTAAACTCAATGGCGGCCCGTCAGAGAAGGCAGGGGAGGCTAAGCCTCCCCTAAAAAATTGAAAATTCAATCTCAGTTTTCTATTCCTGATTTTTAATTAAAATAATAATTCACAAATTACACTTTCATATGTAATTTAGAAAAATCTGACAACATTATTTCAATCAATCCCGCGCCTCCACGACAAAAATCTGTGAATCTGGGATACTCAGTAATACGAGCCCGAAGGGCCGGAGTTATACGCTAGCCCGAAGGGCTAGAGTTATACGCGAGTCCGAAAGGCTAAAGTTATACGCGAGCTTAAAGGGCCGGAGTAATATGCGAGCCCGAAGGGCCGGAGTTATACGCGAGCCCGAAGGGCTAGAGTTATTTTAATCACGGAACCCAGTCTATAATTCTATTGGTCAGCGGATAATTTGGAGCCAATCAAAAATCGGAAATATTCAAAATAAAATCATTAACGTTTCTGAAAAATATTTCCTTTAAAATTCCCAAATATTTTTTGGAATACCCAAAAATCTGTTAAAGTCTCAGAATTTCATAATTTAGTGGAATTTTTAGGAATTTCGGTAGAATAATTATTCCTTGAAGTTTCATTGGAAATTTTCGGCTATGAACGTGGATATTCTCATAAAATTTTAGTAAATTCCAAGGAATTTTTAAGAAATTACATGAAATTTTATGAAAATCTTGTGGAATTCCAGGATTTCAGTGGTAAAATTTTGAAGAATTTTAGTAAAATGAAAAAAAAAATATGGAATTTTGAAAATGAAATCTTAGTGGAATTCTGAGGAATTTCATGAAATTCTATACTGTAATTCCGAAAAAAATTTGTCCAAGAATTCCATAAAATCTTTGAAATGTTAAGGTATTTCTATGGAATTACTTTAAATTTTCGCGGAATTCCCATAGAATAACTTGAAATTTTAGTGAAATTCCAAAGAATTTTGATGAAATCTTAGAGGAGTTAATCACTCCCCGAAATGGTGTTACAAATTTGTCCGAAATCCACGAAATCACTTCGAAATTCCTCCGGAATCTTTCAGAAATCTTTCCGTAAACCCAAAAAGCCCTCGTCATTGGCTCAAAATTCATAAATCGGCCAACGCGGTTGTTTTTCAGTTTATACTAATACACTTTTGAATATACTTATAAGATAAGTAACAGTAAAATCAACTTAAAATTTTTGCGAAATCACCTGAAATTCTCTGAAATCTCCCGAAATCCTTCGAATTTACCCGAAATCCTTCGAAATCATCCGAAATCCCTTGAAATCGCTCTAAATTTGAAATCTTGTCACAGTGAATAAATCCTTCGAAATCTTTCCGAAATCCTATTTTTTTACTGGAAAAATTTGAAATTTTGGGAAAATGAGCCTTTAACTTTTTTTTCTCACATGCAAAAAGTTTCAAAATTTTTTCCTCAGTAGCTTTTCAAGAAAACTTTAAAATGTGTGAGACTGTATTTTCAATTAATTCATTCATTGGACTTATTGGAGGTTGATTTCCAAGATTTTTCATGTTGTCATTTTCCACTAGGAAAATTTGAAATTTTGGGGAAATAAGCCTCTGACTTTCCTCTTCACATGCAAAAAGTTTCAAAATTTTCTCTTAATTAGTTTTCCCTCGAGTTTTCCAGGAAAACTTTGAATTGCGTTAGACTGTATTAACAATTATTTCAGCTTTTGTAAGTTTATTTCCAAGATTCCTTATGTTCTATTTCCCAATGGAAAAATTTGAAATTTTGAGAAAATAAGCTTCAAATCTTCCTCTTTTATATGCAAAAAGTTTCAACTTTTCCCTCAATTAGTTTTCCAGGAAAATTTTGAAAGTGTGAGACTGTATTTTTCAAGAGGCAAACCACTTTGGAATTCTTTGTTAGAAACTTGGGGAATTTATAGGAAATTTGGAAAAATTCATGGAGAATTTGGAGGATTTGTGTTCGATGTTGGACAAATTACATGGAATTCCTTGAAATCTTATTGTGGAATTCCAGTGAAATTATATCGAAACCGAAAAATTCCCTCGGAATTAAACAGAATTTTCCGTGAAAATTCCATGGAACCACGAAAAATTCCGAAAACTTGAATTAAATTTTAGTGAAATTCTGAGTAATTTCTGTCGAAATTTCCATGAAATCTTTTACTGTAATTCCGAGGAATTTTTGTACAAGAATTTCATTGAATGTTATAGTGGAATTCGGAAAAGTATTATGAAATCTTATGATAAAATTTCTAGGATTTTCTGTTTTTCTATTCAAATTTGTCATTTGAATGGGATTTCAAGGATTTCCATAAAATCTTCTACTGAAATTTTGAGGAATTTCTATGGAATTAACAAAAATTTTCGCAGAATTCCCATGGAATATTTATCGTTAGGGTTCTCCTAAATTAGTTGATAAAACCCGTTTCTAAATTTCCTAAAATGATCCAAAATCACCTAAAATCTCATAAATCTAAAATCTTTTAGAATCACGTGAAGTTTTTTCAAAATCCTCAAAATCCTTCAAAATCAATGCCTAAAGATTCAATTATGTACACAATTTTTTGGAGTTAACTAAACTAGAGCGGTTAATTGATGAAAATTTGTATACAAGTTGGTCAAAATTCCAGAAAAATTCGTAAGATCTACTCAAAATCACTGAAAATCTTTTAGCCCCCTCAAATAGTCACGAGCCGCCACTGTCTAAACTATACGTCATTTTAATAGTTATTTATACACCAAGTGAGTTAAATGAATGTTTATTCATGAGAAGAAAGTTTAACCCACGAGCCCTAACGAGTGGGTTAATTTTCTTCGAATGAATAAACATTTTAACTCACGTGATGTATACAAAATTTTATCCCATTTTGATGGACATTTGAAAAATAAGGTACTTAATAGGAATCAAAATTATAAAAAGAATTCATTTAGCGAGCGCAAATCTTATGTTGAAACTGGTAGTTGCTAGGGCATTACTAGTTGTTTGTTTGTATTTGTAGCAGATTTTTATACTAGCAGAGTGACTTTAAGATCGAGAGTGAGTTAAAAATATTTTAAGTCACTCAGGTGATAAACGTCTACTTACCTTTGTTATTATGCGTTCAATAATGTCATTTTTAAACGTCAAAATGGGATAAAAAAATAAACACACATTGCACAGACAGAATGTCAATTTGACAATTATTATTTATAATAATTTTGGAGTTAAAAATAAAAATATCGAATTCCTAGACTAAATGCTTAGAAAATAATAAACACAAAATTTGAATTTTTGAGTTAAAAAAAAGAGGATGTTGAATTCGGCTGTTAATTATAATTTATAAATTTTGATTTGATTTATTATTCATGTCCTATAAACCTTATGAAACAATAATAATCGCCAGGCCTAGGGGCAGGGACACTTTATCCGTTAGGACAATTAGGTCATGTCCTACGGGCCACTAGAGAATGAAGGCCAATTAACTGCTGGCCTTTAATTTATAATATAAAATATAAAAGCCCACTATACTAAAAACATCGACTTGTTTAATAGCAGGACTAGCATATATTTCAATACTCTTTAATTCTTATAATTCACACTGCACAAGCTCATTTGGTTTGGCCAGAGTGCACTGCCTGACGTCACGATGCTCTGGAATCGCTCCGCTCGCTCCATCGAGCATCAATCCGGAATACGCCCTAGAGTCACCGAGCTGCGCTGAAGAGCTGCGCTGATTCGCCGTCGCGTCATTAACGCAGCACGAGCACGTGGCAACTGGCAACTAGAGATGCACCGAATAGTGGTTTGGGTTACTGGCCGAATACCGGATATTCGGCCGATTGTCACGGCCGAATAACGAATATTCGGCCGATCCTCGGCCTGGTGTTTTGGCCGAATATTCAGCCATTATTTGGCCGAATATTCGGTTAATATGAATTGTTGGTTGCATAATTTCTTAGGCTTCTTCAATGTCATTGGGATTTCTTCTATTTTAAAGGTTGGGTTGATGAGTAAGTTTGGGGTTGGCATTGTTGGCAGTTGGCAATACCGATTTTATTTTCATTAATTTGAATTCCCGTGGCGACTTGTGTGCATTTGTATGTTTTTGAATAATTGCCGAATATTCGCCTAATACCTTTATCGCTGCTGTCCGAATAACGAATATTCGGCATTTACTCAAAAGTGGCCGAATATTCGGCAATTATTCGGCAAACCGAATACTTGGTGCATCCCTACTGGCAACGACTACAGCAGGAACCTGTTAGTGTTTGCGCTGCTTTGTCAAATTGTAAGTTTCTTAGAGCTTCTTCTGGAGCATCCAGGAACTTGAGCAGTGTCTTGAGGGTCCAGTGTACCACGAAGTCGTGCCTTGTTGTTGTTGAGCTTGTAGGACATGCACAGGCAACGTGGTACGAATTTTCCTCAGAGTTGCAACCCTTTATGCATCTTTTCCTCGCTAATAGATTTGATCCCAAGCCATGCAGCTTTTCTTCCGAAGCACCCATCAGTACACTTAGTCCCCATGTGGTGATTGGTAGGCTGGGAGCTCAATGCCATCATTTTCTTTTAGGACGTTCCGACCATATAGCATGTTTTGTGACCATTCTTGTTCTATCATTTTGTAGTACCTTTCTTTGATTTTACCGAATACTACTTGGCAACATTTTTTGTCTTCATATTCTGCCAGGTTAGTAGTTTGAAATCGTCTGAATGATTTTATTAAACCCTATAAAAAAGAACAATCACTCATGAAAGGCCATACCAAATAATTGACCTACGGGCCAGAGAAAGGTTAAAGCGTCACTGCCTACGGGGGGGGGGCAAGTGCCCCATTTGCCCCCCCTATGGACGCCCCTGATGTACGCACTAGTGCGTAAGTAATTCACTTTACACACTAGTGCGCAAAAAATACCGAAAGCCTTTGCTTGTCTTCTTTTGCATTAAAAATGTGATATTTACTTTACGCCCTAGGTTGTGAAGTACTGGTACGTTACTTTAAACACTAGGGCGAAAAGTTGTGATATATTTTTCTAAATGTATAGCTGCATATAGTCACTCAGTAGTAGAAAAAAAATTGTATGTTACATGTGTGTAAAGTCCCTTTTTTACTTATGTGATTGTTACGCTCGCCTGCAACATTCACATTCGTGAGAAAAGGTGCACTTTACACACTTGTTGCATAAGGGAAGGGCTTAAAAGACGAATAACCAGGCTAATGCTAATACCATATTAAATTCAAAAAGGGCGGGTAAACGGGTGAAGATATCATACAGTGTTGCCAAATTTATTTCATCCATATATCGATCACTGTCATTCCCCATATATTAAACAAAGATAGAGAGTTTTTTACGTCTGTCAGTCGGTAATCATTTTTGTTTTGACATTTAATTTGACAATAGATTTGCTATTCCCCACGTGTTTTTTCTTCATTTAATAAAATTTTTGCCAGTTTATGAATTAAAGGGCCACAATAATCATGTCTCTTCCTGATAAAGTATTAATGCGAAAAATCAAGACTAGAGAAAAACAGAAATTCAAGTTTATCCAGCTGAAGGAGGCCCAGATGAAAGCAGACAAACAGGAAAACGGTAAAGTTGAAACATGAACTAATTTCAGAAATAATCTTGCTTGTTTTTAGAACAAGAAGCCCTAAATGGCCCTATTGAGAACAAAAAGGGCGTAAAACGTTCACAGGAAAACGAAGAAGGAAGCCCTAAAAGTAAGATTACACATTATTTTGTATTGATTGTTTTAAGACGGTTTTCAAATTCCAGAAAAGAAAAACAAGAAAAAGAAAGATTTAACTTTAGGAGATGATGAAATATCAACTGAAGAATCAACTAGTAAAGGTAAATAAATGCAAATATTTCAATCAATAAGTGTGATTTCTGCCCCAAAAAAAAACATGATGAATCATAAGGCGAATACGATGCCTCCTCAAACTTTTAGTAGAGATACTTATTTCCTTTGAGAATGGGTAGAGGCAAAATGAGTACAAACTTTCTGACACCCTATAATAAACAAATAAATTCCTTTTAAAAGGAATAACAGCAAAACTCTAAACTACAACAAAATCTTATTCGTTGCAGGAAAAAAGAAGACAAAAAAAGACACTGAGGAGGACACCAATGAAATCATAAACAATTTAGACGCACAACGTAACATATCCCCTATTTAAATTATAAAATTTTAATTCCTATATTGTAGTGCCAGGCTCTAAATCAGGCTTGGAAATCCTCAGCGACCGTAAATTCGAATCCCTCAAAGAAGTAGTATGTGAAAACACCCTAAAAGCCATCACTGACATGGGTTTTAGTACCTTGACAGAAATCCAAGCCAGAAGTATCCCTCCCTTGCTCGAAGGCCGAGATTTGGTGGGTGCTGCTAAAACAGGCTCAGGCAAAACATTAGCTTTCCTTATACCAGCAGTTGAACTAATTTACAAGCTGAAATTCATGCCTAGAAACGGTACAGGAGTTATAATCATATCCCCAACTAGAGAATTATCCATGCAAACTTTTGGAGTTTTAAAAGAACTAATGAAATACCATCATCACACTTATGGGTTGATTATGGGCGGTGCCAGTAGGCAAACTGAAGCTCAAAAACTTTCCAAAGGGATTAATATTTTGGTGGCAACTCCTGGACGGTTATTGGATCACTTGCAAAATACTCCAAACTTTCTATACAAAAACTTGCAGTGTCTGATTATAGATGAGGCAGATAGAATTTTGGATATCGGTTTTGAAGAAGAAATGAAACAAATTATAAATTTGTTACCTAAACGAAGACAAACTATGTTCTTTAGTGCAACTCAAAGCAAAAAAACTCAAGCCTTGACTTCTTTGGCTTTGAAAAAAGAGCCTGTTTATGTGGGGGTTGATGACAGTAAATTAGAAGCCACAGTGTCAGGGTTGGAACAAGGTTATCTTGTTTGTCCTTCTGAAAAAAGATTGCTGGTACTTTTTACGTTTTTGAAAAAGAATCGCAAGAAGAAGATTATGGTGTTTTTTAGCTCTTGCATGTCTGTCAAATACCATCACGAGTTATTCAATTATATTGATTTACCTGTAATGTGTATTCATGTAAGACATTTATTGCTGCTTCACAATTTCAATTCTAATAAATTGATATTTGTAGGGCAAACAAAAACAAACTAAACGTACTACAACATTTTTCCAATTTTGCAACGCTGAAACTGGTACTTTGCTTTGTACTGATGTAGCTGCTAGAGGTTTGGATATTCCAGCTGTTGATTGGATTATACAGTTTGATCCTCCAGATGATCCTAAAGAGTATATTCATAGAGTAGGAAGAACTGCAAGAGGAGAAGGTAATACCAATATTAGACAAATAATTTTATTTTACCTAAACCAATTTTTTATAGGTAGTAGTGGCCATGCATTACTAATATTGCGCCCTGAAGAATTAGGCTTTCTTTGGTTTTTAAAACAAGCAAAAGTACCTTTAAATGAATTCGAATTTAGTTGGACAAAAATAGCAGACATTCAGCTGCAACTTGAAAAGCTTATTGGCAAAAATTACTATTTAAATATGTCTGCAAAGGATGCATTCAAGTCTTACATAAGAGCTTACGATTCTAGTAGCTTGAAGAATATTTTTGATATTTCCACATTGGATTTGGCCAAGGTTGCACAATCATTTGGCTTCAGAACACCTCCGGCTGTTGATTTGAATATGTCTGCAAAAAAAGGTATATTATATGGGAGTGATTTTTTTTGGGTTTTTAAAGTTTTCTGTTTAGGTGAAAGGCCTGAAAAGAAACGCAAAGGCGGTGGCGGTTTTGGTCATTTCAAGAACCTAAATTCCATGGGCGATAGGGATTTTAAGAAAAATACTGTTTACAGGCAACCTAGGAACAAGGGAATGTCTGATAGAAGACAATTTACACGATAAATTTTGTATTTGTTTTAAAATAATGTTGAAATATTTTATTTTATTTTCTATTTATCTCACAATGATTGCTAATAAAGTACAAGTGAAAAGTTGTTTTTAGTTTTAAATTTTCCTGTTTTCTATCATATTCATGAGAATAAAATGAGGTTTATTTCAATATACGGTTTATCCACTGTTTAAACAGTAGATCTGGCAGCATTGGAACATGTGCAATTATGAAATCAGCTGCTGATTCTACTTTTATGTTTATCAAATCAAAATATTTTATAGTGCAAAGTTATGTGTGAAAATCGTATAATGGAGAAGTTTTTCTTATAAACAAAATTAATCTGAGGTACCCACTACTTAAGTACTTTTATAAGGAAAAGAATACTTGCTATAATACTGGTACCTACTTAAATTTGGCAACTTGTTTTAAGTACTATATACTTACTTTACTAGGGCTTTACTACTTAAAAATGTACTGAACATTTCAATCTATTCATAAAAATTAGTTTTCAAAAGTATTTAAACTACATATATTTTAAGTACTTGCCTATTTTATTTAACTCTTAGTACCTAGGTACTTATTAAGTACATCCATAATCCTATATAGTGGAAAATCTGATAATGTGCAATAATACCTACAAGCAAAGATCTACAAGTTAAATTGCATTTTACCACTAAATTTTGTATGCAGTTATGCTTATATAGCTACCTCTATAAATACGACAAAGTAAGTTTTTATTTAAGTACAAGTACATATAAATACTTCAAGTACTTGAATACATATGGAACATACATACTTTGAATACTGTATACTGAAAATCATATGTTGTAGGTAGGTACCTACTCTTCCTACTTTTTTGACAAAATTTAGTCTAAAAATCAACATTGCGGTTCAATTACTGAAAAACTTCCTGAGCTATTAAACTCAATTTTGCATGGATTTATACAGAATTTAATGCTCTTTTCAATGATACATAATTTATTTCAATTTGCTCAAAATTTAACTAAGATATGGGGAATTGTTTATGACCATGTCAAGATTTTGAAAATAGGATTTTCTTTTTATTTTTATTCCTGCTTAAAATGGCCATTTGGAAATTATGTCAGAGTTGTTTTCCACTAATTTTGACCCACTCTATCGATTGGAAAAGTCAAAATTGAACAAAACCGAAAAATAAAAACATCGAGTTTTTCATAAGGGTACCCCTTTGAATTCTGATTTCCAAATATTCAAACCTCAATTGCTGATTGCTCAGTAACTGTTGAGCAAATTGAATTGAAATTTTCAGCATTTGTAGCTCTTATCAAGCTCTAAAAGAAGTGTGATCAAGAATATTCCCAGGTTTATAGTTTTTGAGAAAATTGAGTTTGAAGTTTTTAACAAAATTTAGACTAAAAGTCAACTTTGAGGCTCAATTACTCAAAAACTTTTTCAGATATCAAACTCAATTTTATACGGATTTATAGAAAATTTAATGCTCTTTCCAATGGTATATAATTTATTTCAATTTGCTCAAAATTTACCAAAGATAGGTATGGGGAATTGTTCATGACCATGTCAAGATTTTGAAAATAGGATTTTCTTTTTATTTTTGTTTCTGCTTAAAATGGCCATTTGGAAATGATGTCAGGGTTGTTTTCCACTAATTTTGACTTGCTCTATCGATTGGAAAAGTCAAAATTGAACAAAACCGAAAAATAAAAACATCGAGTTTTTCATAAGGGTACCCCTTTGAATTCTTGATTTCCAAATATTCAAACCTCAATTGCTGATTGCTCAGTAACCGTTGAGCAAATTGAATTGAAATTTTCAGCATTTGTAGCTCTTATCAAGCTCTAAAAGAACTGTGATCAAGAATATTCCCAGGTTTATAGTTTTTGAGAAAATTGAGTTTGAAGTTTTTAACAAAATTTAGATTAAAAGTCAACTTTGAGGCTCAATTACTCAAAAACTTTTTGAGATATCAAACTCAATTTTGTAGGGATTTATAGAAATTTTAATGCTCTTTCCAATGGTATATAATTTATTTCAATTTGCTCAAAATTTAACAAAGATATGGGCAATTGTTCACAACCATGTCAAGATTTTGAAAATTTTCCAGAGCCAAAAATAGGATTTTCTTTTTATTTTTGTTTCTGCTTGAAATGGCCATTTGGAAATGATGTCAGGGATGTTTTCCATTAATTTTGACTTGCTCCATCGATTGATAAAGTCAAAATTGAGCAAAACTGAAAAATAAAAAAATCGGGTTTCATAAACCCCCTTTGAATTCTCATTTCAAAATATTCAAACCTCAATTGCCCGGTAACCGTGGAGCAAATTGCATTGAAATTTTTAGCATTTGTAACTCTTATCAAGCTCTATATGACTGTAATTTACAATATTCCCAGGTTTATAGTTTTTGAGAAAATTGAATTTGAAGTTTTTGACAAAATTTAAACTAAAAGTCAACTTTGAGGCTCAATTACTCAAAAACTTTCTGAGCCATCAAACTCAATTTTACATGGATTTATAGAGAATTTAATGCTCTTTCCAATGGTATATAATTTATTCAATTTGCTCAAATTTTAACAAAGATATTGGCAATTGTTCATGTCCATATCAAGATTTTGAAAATTTTCCAGAGCCAAAAATAAAGTTTTTTTTTTTTTTAATTTTTGTTTCTGCTTAAAATGGCCATTTGGAAATGATGCCAGGGTTGTTTTTCCATTAATTTTGATCTACTCTATCGATTGGTACAGTCAAAATTGAGCAAAACTGGAAAATAAAAAAATCGAAGTTTTCATAAGGGTACTTTTTCTGAATTTTAAATGCCAACTTTGAGACGTAATTGCTCAAAAACTATTTGAGTTATCAAGCTCAATTTTGCACGGATTTACTGAGATAAACAAAATTTTACTCAAATCGGTGCACCTTGTAACAAAAAATATAAAAAATTACTAAGTACCTTAGTACTTTTATTACTTTATAAATAATAAATAACATAAATCTCGGATAAGATACCAAAATGGAATGAGAATCAGATAATATTAAAGTATTTTACATATTTCAAGTACCTACTGAAATATACTTCAAGTAATGTCACTTTACTTGAAGCTCAATGTTTTTACTTGAAGTAAATTAGGTACTTGATGAAATTCAAGTAAATTTCAAGTTTACTTGATAATCAATTAAAGTATAATTTATTTTAAAAAACTTGTACTTCAAGTAAATCTATTATATATTTACCTCATACTTGTACTTCAAGTACTTTCGTAATGTACTTGTGTCGGTTCTGACTATAAGTATATGTTAAAAATCTTGAATAACTTATACTTTAAGTACATTTATTAAGTACCTACTTAACTCAGTTCTTTGTAAGTCCTTAATACAAAACGCTGACTTAAAATGAAAATTTATATTTATGAAAGTCTTTTTGTGGTCAGGTAGACATTGACAATATGTTTGCAGAGCCTCGCAATCAAAATTCTTAAATCTGGAGGGTTCCAAATGGCAAGCAACCTGGAAAAACTGGTAAAAACATGGAAAGTAGGTAAAATAAGTTACGGAAAAGGGCTGGAATTGCAAAACCGTGTGGCCGCTCTACACAACAACCCCAAAAACTTTATCAAAAACACTTTGCTGTGCCTGGAACACTATCCAGTTTACACAATTGGAATCAGAACTAAACAATACAGTTTGGAAGAAGAAAACAAACTGAAAAACAAAGGCAATTATATTCACATAATGTATTTGAAAATAGATCATATATAACCAATTTTTATAGGTGCCGAATTTTATAAAACAAATCGCGGAGGCCTAATAACATTCCACGGTCCCGGTCAATTAGTAGTTTACCCCATTTTAAACCTAAAACATTTCAAACCCAGCATAAAATGGTATGTTTGCCATCTAGAAAAAACCATAATACATTTATGCCAAAAATATGGTCTCACGGGAGAAACTTCACCACATACTGGTGTATGGATAGGAGATAACAAGGTTTGGTATTTCAATAGTAATAATTTTATTCAGATTGTTCATATTGTAGATTTGTGCCATAGGAATTCATGGAAGTCGTTTTATAACTACCCACGGGCTGGCATTGAATTGCAATACTGATTTGGGGTGGTTTGACCATATAGTGCCTTGTGGAATTGAAGGTAGAGGTGTTACAAGTTTATCCAAGGAATTGAAAAGGAATGTTTCGATAGATGAAGTTATTCCTGAATTTGTTGATAGTTTTTGTACAATATTTGAATGTGAGAGTTTGGATATTGATAGGGAGGAAGCTGATAATTTATTTCAAAGTGATAGTAGTGAATTATTAAATTAAACATTTATAGTGTTTTATTTTATATTGGTAGTGAATCTGAGGCTCAGACAAAGAATCATAAATTTTTATTTGTAATATAGACAAAAGTTAAAAGGAGAGAATCAAAATATGATTAAGAAAAATTTAAAATGTTTTTCTTTCATTGAAAGTTTATGCGTTTTAATCGATTGATTGATTTTCCTCTTGAATTTTCTTTATTTGTTTATTCTTGGCTCTTGAATTTTCCTTAGTTTTTTATTCAAAGATCTCAAATTTTCTCTATTTATATATGAGTTTTTTTTCAGAATCAGTTTTCTGTATGTTTTTTTCCAGAAGGAAGCAAACAATCAAGAGCCTCGAATAGATAAAATTTGGAAGAAAACACTATAAAAAAATGAAGAAAAATTCAAAAGAAGAAATACCTAGTTAACAAATCCTTTATTCCAAAAAAAATACTTTGAGAAATCTTGACGCTCTGAAAACTTTGCACAATAATAACTATGATAGAACCTTAAGTTATAGGTGCATTTCAACAATTGAAGATTTTTTTGCATGCAGTTCCCGGCAGCTGGACGCCTTCAAGCAGTTTGTTACCACATTCCTATTTTAGAATAATAAAATTAGATGAGTTTCGAAAAAGTTGAATTCTTACTTTGCAAGGAGGACAACACCAAAACAAGATGTAGAACCAACAGCATATTGCAGCAATAGGAAAAGCAACGGTTATCAAAATTAGAAACCAAAGTATTACTTCCAGACACCTATTCATGGTTACTTTGGGATATATTCAAAATATGACAAAATCACATCAAAATTTGAAAGGTTTTTGTTGAAAAACCACACCAGAAGTCCGACAAATGCAACAATGGTTGTTTAGCACAGCATACTTCACTTCTCCTATCTTTTTCGAATTAAAATAACCCTGTAGTAATTACAAACAACAGTTTTAACAGGTGGTTTTACATAAAAAAATAAATTAACAACATCCACAAGTGAGAATTTTCCTAACAGCGATTCCTGGCAATTGTACACCCTTGAGGATAAGTTCCGCGCATTTCTGCAACAAAAATTCGATGTCATCATTATAATTTATAATTAGTTATGGCAATTAAAACTTACATCGCATCCAGGACAACATCCAGTGATTGTGTAGAAAATTATGTAAACCACAGAAGATAATATAGCTATAGGAAAAGCTACGGTTAACAAAATTAATAACCATAATAAGACAGTACAGCACGGAGAGCACATCTTAAATAATATGTCCCCTAGATGTCCACTAATGACATTCAAAACGTCTTAATTTCATTATAATTATCAATTTTTGTCTATTCCAAACACTATAGGATCTTAAATTCCTGGTTTCTTTTAAACGAAAACGCATACACAAATTTTTATTTTGGAACTGGAAGAAGAGCAAATCAAGAGCCTATGAAATTCTAAGGACAAGAATAATGGGAATTCAAGAACTTGTAATGAAAAAATTCAAGAGCCAGAAGAAAGTTGAGAATTTAGAATGAAGAAATAAGGAAAAATCCAGAGTTTGGAATAGGAACAATTATAAATATTTAAGAATTTGAACTGAAAGGGAAATATTTGAATTTTAAGTGTTTTGAACTTTCCAAAAGCCTTTAGTTCTAAAGTGTTTTCTAGCATTCTAAATCTTTTCCAGTAGATTGTAGATTGCGGAGGAGTCGTTTCGGCTTTTCAGCCGCTCAGCACTGCTACCTTTGCGGATATTTTGTACGTACATCTCAAATTGTCTCCAGGAAGCGATCAATATTCTATTTACAAGTTTATTCTTAAGAAAGCAAGGAGGATAGCACCAAAATAAGACGTATCTACAAAAAACAGCATATTCCATCAACTATATAGGAAAAGACACGATTACCAAAACTACCAACTAAACTATTACCTTTCTACCTTGGGATTATAATTGAAATGTGACCAAATCAAAAATTCAACAGGTGTGGTGGAACAAAATATTATAATTTAAAAAATATCTATAGTTGCTTAAACATAATAAATTAACATTCACAATGGACAATTTTCCTAACAGCGATTCCTGGTAATTGTATTCCTTTGAGGAAAGTTTCCGCGCAGCCCTGCAACGAAAATTCGAGGTCATCTATAAATTATTAGTTAACAATTAAAACTTACATCACATCCAGGACAACATCCACTGATTGCGAACAAAATTATGTAAACCGTAGAACATAATAGAGCTATAGGAAATGCCACAGTACACAATATTATTGCCCAAAATAAGGCACCGATACAATTCATTTTGTATTTGATGATTCACAATTTGCGATAATAATTGTTAATTATCTATCGTACTACCTTGGCGTTCAGGTTGTTTGTGTGTCAGAACTAGATGTGGAATTTTTATTTAAACATTTGTAGGTATTTTGGGAGTGGATTATATGATAAAAGTGAGATTTTGAGAACATCATATCTAAATTTGTAGAATAGATACAAATAGGATGTGACTAGTTATTTAATACATTTGTGAATTGTTCCACATTTAATCAGTTAGATTCTCGTTAATCCTTAATGATTGTAAATAAGTAAAATTTAAAACCGAAAAATTCTATTACAAGGTTTTGAAAACTTTATCATTTGTCTCCAATAACTGGAAATTGCAGCAAGACTATAAAAATGTTATCATGTTTCAAGATTTAAGCCCAATTGGATTTTGAAGACACTCAAATGATCACTTGAAGTTGAAAACTTCAAAGTATTTTCAATATTCTAAGGATCGCAGAATCAATCTCATTGAAACAAGGACATAAGTTTATTATTACATAAACAAAAAACTACCTATATATTAATACATATACAATAAATAATAAAAAAGAAATTCACAATCCTTAATCGCATTTAACAAGTTTCCTAACGGCTGTTCCTGGTAATTGTACACCCTTCAGGACAGTTTCTGTAAAGTCCTGCAACAAAATATTGATCAACTTTTATATGTGTTATTGATAATTAAATAATTCTTACTTCGCATCCAGGACAGCATCCACTGATAGCGTATAAAATTATGTATACAGTTGCACAAAACATTGCTATTGGAAAAGCTATGGTACATAAAATTAGGCCCCATATAATGAAACGACCGCAAAATTGAAAACAATTCATTTTGTAATTTATCTATGGATGCACTATATTATTGTTTGGAGTTTGGATACTAGAAATTGTATCATATATATATTTGTATCCAGATATTTAAGTATTTGTATGGATTATCTGACTTCGATAACATATATTTTAATCAAAATTTCCAGAATCAATAAGATGTATGATTATGATTGGTTTTTCAATTTTTTTTATTTTGAATTCAAGTCTAAGTGTCTTTGGGCAAAAGCAATTTTTCACTCAAACTGGATTTCAAAAAAACATCCCCCTTTTCATGTCCTGTGTTTTTTTATGCAGCTGTATATTTAGACCTTGGAAACTATAAATACCTACTCATAATTCCAGTCGATATCTTATCTTAAGTGCGTGCATTAAAATGACTAAAAATGTAGTTTCTAAGTAAAAAATGTATTATTTAGTTTAGGAGTACTTTAACAGAAATAAATTTTGAGAATTGAACTATTTTAAATCGCTAACTATATTGTCAAATTTTACCAGAAAATTCTCAAAAATTAAAAAGAGATTAATTGACAGTTTTCAGACTCTTTGTTTCTGTATTCTATTTCCAAATTCCCATAGACTTTCTATCTTCAAAAAGTAAAAAGCCTTCGGGGTTCCTGTAAAAATGTATTAATAAGTCTTTTCTATCAAATAAAAAAAATTGGAAGTGAATTTGAGGCTCAGAACTAGAATTATGAACTGCTTAGACTGACTTTAAAGTTTCAGGATTTATTAATAAAAAATATCCCTACTAGGACCTCAAAATATAGTAGACACATATTACGACACAATGAAAAGAGAAAATTTCCACATGGAATTCCCTTTTGAAGAATAGTACAAATACATCCTGAAATATAATTTAGAAAAACAATCCCCATAATAAAGAATATATTTATTAAACTTAAGACACATTCCATAAAAAAGTAAGTATATAAATTCTTATATAAACCATAATAATCAAGTAAATTCTTTATTGCGAAAGCTTAAGAGCTATAGTTTCATATGCACACATATCACAGTTTGATTGGATATCACCTAAACTATGCTGAGGGCACATAAAAGTCTCGAGCCAATGACAAACAACTATGTGCAATTCGAGTTCCTCTTTAGAATTACAAACAAAAGTGCACTGGCAACAATTCCAGGTTTTCTCTTGAGTTTCTAGAATTTTTTCAGTGTAGCACCCACCACATTTTCCATAGACCTTTTTGTCTATGTGCGCGTGACAAATAAATTTGGCATTTCGATGAGCAGAGCTTATGTGGAGTCCCAGAAAAGTCCACCTTGTGCTACAAATAGGACAGATTTTTTGCAAATAAGCATCGTCGCAAATTTGCTTCATTACACATTGCCTGCAACATTCACTTGATTGGGAATGTTTGTTGCATTTTATTGGAGGATAAAAAGTGTTTTGTAAGTGTTTAGCTTCTATATGCGAGCGTAGTTCGTATTCAGACTTGATTTTGGAACAATCACATTTGAAACACCTGTATAGAGACTTAACCAGAAATTCGTACAAGCATTTTGAGCATGTTTTTAGTTGTGGTTGTTCATGTTCGAAACATTGATAACTACTTTTATGAATAGCTGCATGTTTGAATAATTCCAGGCGAGAATTAGGTTTAAATCCGCAATCATAGCACATTAAATAGCCAGTGAAATTGCGCTGGTCAGTACAATTGCCTCTCATGTGTATTAAAGCCGAGTATAAACTTTCAAATTTTTTAGGGCAATATTTGCAAATTATTTTTCTCAATTTAAGAGACATTAAAGTGTACTGGTAAATACAGCGTTTGCAAAAAATCATAAACTGAGCATGTTCAAAACAAGTAAAAGTACTTTCTTCGTGGGTTTTAGCGTGAGTTGTTAAATGATCTGCCTCCATGTATGCTTTAAAAGGACAATCATAGCAAATAAAGTCATAATTGTTTGATTCAAGACTACTAGTAATGTCAGTATTATTATCTCTGTAATTTGAATATTCAACATTGGATTCTTCCTTTAAATTTGCTTCAGTTTTATTTTTGGTAGGCACTGCTTCATCAACATCAGTATCATCAATTATTATTACATCAGTATTGTCATTTACGGGTGGTGTTTGACTATCAACTTTATTGGGCACTATTTTGTGATTAACTCTACTTGATAGTGGCCTATCCATGGATGGACTATATTCTTCATCGCTATCATTTAAGTTCTCATCATTATTGTCGTCTGTATCTTTTTCGTCAACTGCTACTTTTGAACTGCACTCTTTAATATGTCTTTTAAATGTAGTCTCCTTACAAGTCTTGAAACTGCAATTTGCACAAATCCGCAAGTCTTCTTTGAGGTTAATTAAAACTTGTTGGTAAACACATTTTTGGCATCCTACCTTATTTTTGTCTGAATGCTCATTACAAGAAAAATTTTGGTCATGGTGTAGCTTCAACGCGTGATATTTCAAGTATTCTTTTGAACCAATTTTATATTCGCAATGAAAACATCTATATCTGTGTCTTCGATCAGGTGTGGGTGTGGTTTTATTCATAATTTTGATGGGCTTTGTTTTTTTTTTGTGGTTCTTCAGCCTTGACCTATTAAAATTATCAACGCATTTTGCGTATATACACTTTAAGCAGCCTACTACTGTTGCGCTTTTGCCGCTTTTATGGTTTGGGCAAACAAAAACACTATTAAAATGCTTTTTTGCGTGGTATTTTAAATCGATATGATGATTTGAAGAAAAGTTGCAGTCAAAGCATTTGTAAGTGTACCTTTGTTGTGTTGTTTCTACTTCAATTTCTTTGACCCTGGAATGAATTAATGGATTAATAATTTATAATTGCAATAGGGGTTTTTCTTTTTACTTACAATGTAGTTGATGATTCTTTAAACTTTTTCACTCGTTCATATGTCCCAGTCAGATAATTGAATTCTACAGTTTCTTCATATTGTGAATCTGTAGGTTTACATTTGTTGGACATTAGTTCATTACTTGGATTGACATTTTCTGAGGCAATATCATATTCAATAAGTTGATCAGTTTCATATTCTAAAGTATCAGAAGAATTTTCTGGTTCTTCTGATGAATTTGGAAGCCTCATTGGATTAAGAGGTTCAGGAGGAGGAAATTCAGTGTTGTCTTGAACACTAAAAATTTTGTTATTTGAATCTCGATGGTTTTAAGGGCTCTGTGAAGTGGGCAGGCACACTTGAAGCACAAAAGTTAAATTTTACGTAATCGTTTAGTGCTTCAATCCCCAAACTAGCAGCCCTTGTATTTTCAGAGATATTTCGGTTTTTTGAAATCGTCTGCTGACTTCACACTCAGCAGGAACAAGGGAGGCACCAACGTTCAGTTACGAATAAATGGTTAGTGCTTCAATCCCCAAATTAGCAACCCTTGAATTTTTAGAGATATTCCATGTTTTTTTTCCAGTATCCTGACATCCTCCGCCAGACCCACTATGATTGCGAAAAGTCGAAATATCTCTTGAAGCTTAAGTTGCTAAAACCTGAGATGGTGCATCATAAAGCACTAATAATTGATCTGTAACTGAATGTCGATGCTTCCCTGCTGGATGTGAAGTGAGCAAGCGATTTTTAAATACCGAAATATCTCTGAAAATATAAGGCTTGCTAATTTGAGGATTGAATTTACTAACAAAACACTAACCACGAAAGGTAAACCACTAGTGGAAATCATTGTACATTTCTTCAATCAGGAATACATGGAAATAAATCACTTGGGAGTCCTTGGAATAACCTGGGAATCTCCTAGGACTCCATGGGAATCACATAGAAATCCATTCGCAATCGCTGAGAATAATGTGGTAATTGCTGGGAATATCATCTCATTCTAATCCAGAAATCGCATATCACACATTTTAAAGGATACAGCGTACCGGTCAGTGATGTATTTGCCTTTGAGACTAAGTTTTAGGCATAGGATATTTCAACAAGTTTCCCAATAACTGGGCCAATAACTGAACCCCAGACTGTAAAAAGTTTAGAACTTGAAGAAAAAGATGAAGATTAGGTCTGTTCTCACAGAAATCACAAACCAGTCAGAGCGTTTCTGATTGGTGCAAATCGCCACCAGCCAGTTTTCTGACTCTTTTGAACCAATGAAATTCGTTCTAACTGGTTTGTGATTTCTTTGAGAACAGACCTAAAGTAAGACAATGTTGTAGATCATAAAAACATGAATCTTCAAACCTCTCTCGAATCGGACTTGCCAAAAGAAATCAGAAGACTCAGAATTTCTTCACACAGCAAGATTTAGAAATTGCGATTAGCTACAATTAAGAGATTATTCAGGGTTCAACTTTAATTGAGTTTTTTTCAGAGAAGCAAGGACGTTTGTCAATCAGGTATTAAGAGCTGGGAATGACCCTTAGAACGATACAAAAGAAAAAGTCGGGACTCCAAGGCAATAAGAACTTAAAAAGGGAAAGTAGAATACATACTAGGCAGGGCAAGAAGTAGAGACCATAGCACATCTGAATCAGAAATAGGTTTGTCAAGTGAAACCCTAATTGAAGATGTTTCTGATTCAGATGAACATCTTAGTGAAATCAGAGAAATATTCATTATTTTAGATCCATATTATGCAGTGTAGACACGCAAATGGTATCTAGGGCTCAACAACTATTTATACCTACAACAAAATCAGTGTGGATGTGGACAACCATTGCTTTTCGAGACATGGTAAATATCAATAAATTACCTATTAACATTGGTGAAGTTTTCAATAAGCTGACTCACATCAATATAAATAAAGGTCCAGGACCTGATGGAATACCTCCAACATTTCTTAAGAACTGTGCACTAGCCTTATCTAGACCCTTGTGGCTGTTATATAAATAAATAAATATCGCCTTTATTTAACTTCACGAAGGGTGCAAAATGGCGAAGTTTAACCTTGTGGCCATTCTTCCACTTAACCACTTATAATAAATCATTGTCTGTTGGAGTCTTTCCAAAATATTGGAAACTATTTTTTGTATGTTCGATTTTTAAAAACTCTGGCAACAAGGAAGATGTTTAGAATTATCGCCCTATTACACTATTGTCTCATTTCCCAAAGATATTTGAATCACTGGTAAACGATTTTTTAACTGAAAAACTTAAAAATATAATAATTCCAGAACAACATGGTTTTACCAGTGGTCGATCTATAACAACAAATTTGCTAGTGTATGAACGAGCCATATCGGGGGCCTTGGAAGCCGGTCAGGTTGTAGATTCTATCTATACTGATTTCTCCAAAGCCTTCGATTGGGTGAGTCATGCATTGTTGATAGAAAAACTTTCCAAATATGGTGTATGTGGTTCACTTCTTCAATGGCTCAGTGGCGGCTCCTATATTAGAAATGTGGGGGTTGCAATTCCAATTTCAGCTTTATCGGATAATGATCGACCACAGAATGGCTCTGCAATTAAACTTTAAACATTTTTTTGTCACGCACCACACCACAAACTAAAATAAAATATTTGCATTCAAGCTGCAATCCGGCGCGGCAGCGAGTCAGTTATTGCCATTTTGGCGAAGGTAATCAAATTATATTGATAAATTTATTGCGGGAAAGCTCCTTGCGTATTATATAGGTACCAAATTTTGGTATAATTTATTTTTAAAATATAATTAGGTACTAAAATATTAGTTCTTTTTTGTTTTATTGTTTTCAACTTTTGTTTTGGGGGTTGCGCAAACCTGCAAACCTTAGGAAGAGCCGCCACTGCAATGGCTGTATTCTTATCTTGTAGACAGAAGCCAGATTGCGAGCCAGATTGTAAAGGGGAAGTCATTTCAATCTGAGGTTATTAGTGTTACTTCTGGGGTGCCTCAGGGGGGTCATCTTGCACCACTCCTGTTCTGCTTATTTATCAATGACATAGGGTCTTGCTTCCATCATGTCCAATTTTTATTATATGGCAATGACTTGAAAATTTTCAAGAGTATAAATCGAGAAAGCCCAGACAGGGGAATGCAGGATGATCTTCTGAGGTTCCATGAGTGGTGTGTTGAGAACGAGATGACATTAAATGGCAAGAAATGCAAATATATTCAGTTCTCTACGAAAAATTCTCCCAAACTAAATGACTATTATATAAATGATAATGTTATTGAAAATGTTTCTAGTATTCGTGACCTAGGTGTTATATTCGATGCAAAATTGTCATTTTCTGAACACATTTATGCATGTTGTAATAAAGCATTGAAAATGTTGGGTTTTATCAAAAGACACACAAGAGACTTTAAGGGATGTTTCTGCTCTCAAGTGCTTGTATGTGTCCTTGGTTCGTTGCCATCTTGAAAATAATAGCTGTGTGTGGTCACCACATTATAGAATTTATGTTGAATTAGTTGAACGTGTACAGAGAAAATTTTTGAGATACATAGGGTACAAAATGGGAATACCTTCAGATTTTATTGATCATGATCAGCTTTTGAAGAATCTGTCATTGGAAACATTGGAGCATAGGCGTAGAAAATTCGATCAGTTATTGATTTTTAAGTTGCTCAGAGGTTATCTGAATTGCCCTGAGTTGCTCGCGGCTGTAAACTTGAATGTCCCAGTGAGTAATTTTAGAGCTGTGCGCTGTTTTTCGTTGGAGAGACATCGTACCTCTTATGGCCAACACACAGCCATTAATCGGGTTTGTTGTCCTTTCAATATTTTTAATTTAGAAATAATTTATTGTACTCTTTTTACATTTTTTATTTATATGTGGTTTGTTATTAGTATTAATATTATTATTATGGAAATATTTGTAAAATTGGGCTGCTGCCCGTTGGAAGTGGAAATAAATAAAAAATAAAAGTTGCTAACTTTTGGAAGAATTGCAAATACCAAAGCAAATACCTACAGAAGATGCCAATTTTTCAGTGGAAACATGTTTTTATAAGAGAAAGCCTGGAAATTGGATAATTGTAGGAAATCAGGTAATCAATTGGGAATGATATAGGAATCCCCAGAAAAAATGGAAATCACTTGGTGAACATTGGTGCTTTCCTTGTTCCTGCTGGGTTTGAGCAGGCAATTTCTCAAATATCTCTGAAAATTCAAGGGTTGCTAGTTTGGAGATTGAAGCACTAACGAACCACTAGCCATTTTTCTATAATTGCACGCTGGTGCTTTCCTTGTTCCTGCTGGGTGTAAAGTAAGCAAGCAATTTCAAAAAACCGAAGTATCTTGGAAAATATAAGGGTTGCTAATTTAAACATTGTAGCACATTGAAGCACCAAAGAAGCGCTAAACGATTTCGTAAAATTTAACTTTTGTGCTTCAATGTGCCTGCCTACTTTACAGAGTCTGTTTTAAGTTACTTACTTTTGGCTATTATTATTGGTATGTGATGAATTCAATATAAAGTTCGATATGATTTTGATTTTAGTAGATCCTGGATGCTTTTCTTTGCCGTTTTCCATCTTCAGGCAGTCGTTTTTTGACTATAAATGAAATTGTGCTGACAATGCTGATAACATTGTGAGTAGAAATGCGACTTCAGGCTTTTGATTTCAGTATTTTTCCTATTGGAATATCATACAAAATAACTAATGAGAAATTAATTATAAAAATAGCTTACCTTTAGTATTCACAAAAGAATAAAATTTAAATAAATAACAAATAATATAAACAAAACAAGGACAAGGACAAAAAAATGGAAGGAGCTGAAAAAAGTTGGGTTAGGTTGACGACAGTGTTGCCAAATCTTGCCTCATCAGATTGGAATTAAGTTAACTTGATTTTTTAATTATAAACATAATCTATAAATATAATTATAATAAATAGCTATTATTTAAATAATAGGAAAGCTACTGACTTGGTAATAATCACCAATTTTCTCGTTGATTTTCGAATTTAGCAATAAAAAGAGGTTGTCTCCATACAGTCCATACTGAAGCGGCCATTTTAAGTCAAAGCATTTCGCGCATTGATTCTTGCATTTTATATTCTTTTAATGATTTTATTTATCTGAATTATTATAATCATCAAGATCTTTATAAAAAATATATTTATATGTGGGATTCTTTTATTTGAACAAAAATTCGTATTATTACAGGTTGTCACGATACATAATTTAAATGGGGACTTTCGACACCATTGAAGATACAGGGTGGACCAAATGGGGAAGTTGCGCAATCAAGTGCCTACAAATAATCTGTCGTCAACTTCTGTGAACTCGGAATAGTAACGGATATAGATATACAGGGCGAAAAAGAAAAAAAAAATGCGTTTTATAAAATCCTTGTTGTATTGTCTATTCACAATCTGTAGTCCAGTCCAAAGGTAAAATTTATCACCTTTCAATGCTATTTGATAGGGAAAGGTGATAAATTTACCTCTACCTTCGGACTACAGATTGTGAATAAGATATACATTGTGTCTCAAACAAAATATGCCGTCAACAATATTGTCATCGCCCATTTCATTTTTCAGATACAAGGTAGGTATTTTTGGAAATGTTGCATTTTGGGACACCCCTTGTATCTCGGTTCTCTCATAAGTAATCGAAAAGGTGACAAATAATGGGTTCTTATAGATATTTCTACGTAGATTACAGTGGCGAAGTCAGTTTTTCTCTAGGGGTTATAGTTTTTGAATTATGAACCAAACATACTGTTGGAACTACCAAATATATGTACAGGGTGTCCAAGATTCGATGGTTTTGGGGGGTTCCGGGTATTTCTAGAGGAGTTGGAAAAAATCCTACTTCCACTTGCGAGCCTCGATTTTCAAGAGAAATTGACTGGTGAAAACCGCATCTCGATATGTCGAGTCGTTTTTATGCTACGAGGGGTTTTTGAAAAGTTTGGAGTTTGGCACGAGGGCTATAACTTTTTTGATTATGGAAATTTGATCAACTTTTTCCCTTGTAGCTTAAAAGCGAATCGAAATATCGAGGTGCGGATTTCAACGGTCAACTTCTCTTGAAAATCGAGACTCGCAAGTGGTAACCAAAACCCGCTAAAACCATCAAATCTTGGACACCCTCTGTACACTTGGCCAATCATAAAACTGGTATGCATTTTTCAATTGTGTTGTATTATGTAAATCGACCTTTTTTATCACCTGCTCAAACAATGATAAAAAGAGTCACGTCAGTGTCATATTTAAACCAATCATAACATAAAAACATGTTGCACTTTTGTTCAGCTTTGATGACGTTTACAAAAACTGTTAGACCCAATATAGCTAAAAACTGGAATGCCATGAATGAAAGACAGATGCCACAAGGGGGAATGTTTTGGTTTTTTTCTGTTGCTCGCTGACATATGACGTTTTCGAAAGTTTTGTCATATTTCCCTTCACAGGTTTCATCAATTGGAATACGTGTTGGAAGCAATTTTCGCCATTTAACATAATGAGTGCGACAAAAACAGGTATCCCCTCCGCAGCCAGTGTTGCCAGAGTTTTTCGACGACATTCCTTCAAGTGATTGGCTAAAACCCTTCATATCCTTCAAAACAGTAAAACAGTGGCGATTGGCCGGCACAACGAAATAATTTACCAGAAAAAAACACTAACATGCAAGGATAATACATACTACTAAAGATTACTTATCGGCCTCGTTTTTGGTAATCGCCGCCATATTGGTTTGTCACCATCCGACAATCCGACGTCATAACTAAGTCGTCAGTTGTTTCACTAGCAGTCGTAGTTTAGAATTTAAATTTATGATGGAAAATATTTCATTTTGATTAACATAAAGCAAAAGCCCGCGGAATCATAACCTGTAGTGCTCGCCTACGTCAAGGTAAGAAAGGACATGCTACTACGTAACAACCGGTGATTTGGCGTGGTGGGAGGCTTCAGATTTGTTCCACACAGGCCTCATGAGGATAGGCTATGCTTGCTTGCTGTTTCACCCTTTCGAACCCATACTCTACACTGCAGCCTTTAATTATAGGCTTAGTGCGCGTTCACATTGACACCGCTCGAGCGGTGAGCGTTGCGCGATGCCGCTGGAGTGATGCCTAAAAATAATTTAAACATTATATTTCAAATCAACAAGTTTACCCTGAGGCGGCGTGTCGCGCTGTTTAAACATGTTCATTTGAAATATAATGTTAAAATTATTTTTGGGCATCGCTACAGCGGCATCGCGCAACGCTCACCGCTCGAGCGGTGTCAATGTGAACGCGCACTTATTGTATCTCATTTGTATGGGCTCTGGGCTCTACTCCTTCTCATTCATACTTGGAGATCAGATGATTGGCTGCGGTCACCCATCCAATCTCCATCCCGACACCACGTTGCTTGGCTTGAGTAGGCCGTATTACGTCCTTTATCGAAAATCAACGTGCCGGTTGGCTATGCTAGTAGTGTGTATTATCCTTGACTTACATGAACGAAATTCTTATTGAATTTTGAACCTAAAGCCTGGCCTACAGCACACTGACTGACGCAGTGGCGTAGCGAAAATTGGCGTTTCGTATTTTTTCTCATGCAACTAATTAATTCGTTTTAATAAAAATTAAATTTGTTGGTGAAATGATTGGAATATTTGCTAAATATACAATTTGCCTCAAAATCCTTCAAATTCGGATAAAAACCTTCAATCCTTCAGTAGTCAAAATTTAAGACCAAAACTCTTCATATTGAAGGAAATCTTTCAATTCTGGCAACACTGTCCGCAGCAGCCGCACAGTTTTTGGTTATAGTTCATTGGTTAGACCTAAGTTTTTCAGAACAGGTCGGGGATTCTAAAATCACGATTCGACATACGATTCGACAACGAGACGATTTTTCCGACGATTCTAGGTTAGAAATCTCATTGGAATTATACCTTTCGACACGATAAGGCCGGTATCGTTGTCGAGTCGTGTGTCGAATCGTGATTTTAGAATCTCGGCCCAGACTTTTTTTTGTTAAGCCTGACTCACACTAGGCAAATTTGAAAAATATATGCCTGTACCAGTTTTATGTTCGGCCAAGTGTAAATTGCCGGGTGTCACGTCTTCTGACTCAGGACTGACTTAAGGTACGGTTTGTTAGGATCAATGAACTATAACCAAAAACTGGAATGCTTACAAATAAGGACGAACGTGAAGCCTAGTGCGGCTGCTGCGGAGGGGATACCTGTTTTTGTCGCACTCATTATGTTAAATGGCGAAAATTGCTTCCAACACGTATTCCAATTGATGAAACCTGTGAAGGAAAATATGACAAAACTTTCGAAAACGTCATATGTCAGCGAGCAACAGAAAAAGACAACATTCCCCGTTGTGGCATCTGTCTTTCATGGCTTCATTTTTTTGGCAGATATGGCACTGTGTGCGCATTCCAGTTTTTAGCTCTAGTTCATTGGTTAGGATAGTACGTCATTGGTTCAGGTATGACGTACACCTGTTTTCTGACGTCAGCGTCAGAATACGGGTGTACGTCATACCTGAACCAATGACGACGTTTACGTTGTCAGTTGTGCGTCATCACTATCCTAACAAACCGTACCTTTAAACCAAATTTTCGCGACAAACTACTTCCATGATTTCATAAACACAAACGCTTTTGCGAGAAACTTATGAGGTCATATTGAACGTAGTTCGCCATAAGCATGGACGCAGCTTCTAGCCAGCGTTCAAACTCATGACGTCACAGACGAACTATAGTTCGTCCTTGTATGAACTACATTCGTCGCGAAAATTCGGTTTGATGTGAAGTTAATTTGACTACTATTCTGAGTCTCTGGTGTGTTTTTCCAGTGTTCGTAGAAATTCAATTCAATACGACTCAACATACGTTTTTTTAAATGAGACCTGTATAATTCTATAGGTTTATCCCACCTTTTGTCAAAAGCATTGACAAAAGAAAGAAATGTGTCAGTAGGAAAATGAGAAAGGTCTCTTTCGATCAAGGAGAATACACACTCGAAAGAGTAGGTACTTATCGGCCTCGTTATTGTGAATAACATGCTGCTTACGTCACAACTTGTATTTTGGCTTGGTGGGGGAGGGGGGAATTGTTACACACAGGCCTTATGAGGATAGGCCATCTTGTAGTAGTAGTGTGTATCATCCTTGTTTTTCGATCACATTATTGTTTCTTATGAAAAACAGATAAAAAAATTTTGCACGAAAATTTGAAAACTATCACTTCTAGAGAAAAACTGATTACTGGAATCTACTTAAAATTATCAGGGTGTCCCAAATTCGAGGCCCAACATGGGGATATCGGTAACCATAAGAAATACGAGGGTGGGTAAATTAGACAAAAGTCGTGCATTTTGATGCTTAACAAAATGCCGTTTTAAAATTTCAGAAATTCCTAATACTTTCAGAAATATCCGGAAAATTACCAAAATTGCGATTATGGTTTTAATTTTTTCCGGGATTTATTTTAAGAGATCGAGAAAAATCAAGATAACTTTCTTGAAGCACTTTTGGTTGGACTTTAATGTGGTAATATTATTTTACAAATTCGACGTTTCGGTTTACCAATGCCATCATCAACCCTCGTATCGCCAACGGTTACCGATATCTCCATGTTGGCCCTTGAATTTGGGACACCCTGTTCATCACCACATATACTTTTACACCTACCCTGCTGGACATTTCTTGATTGTATCTCTCATGATAAACCCGAATTATTATGAAGGATTTTATGAAACAAACTTTTCTATTTTCAACCCTGTTTATCCGTTGCTATTCCGGAGTTCAAAGAAGTTGATAACAGATTATTTGTAAGCACTTGATTGCGTAACTTTTTCTCCATTTGATTCACCCTATATCTTCAAGGGTTTCCAAAATTTCCATGTACTTTAAGTTACTCCGGACACCCTGTGTATTTCCGTAAATAAATAAATTTAAAAAAAAAAACACTAATAATATAGTTTATTATTTTTTATAAAATCACAAAACGTTAACATACTCTACATAACAAAGTTCACACAACAAACTCGAAAAAAGAAGTGATATATTTTTTTTTTATTTTAAATTAACTAGTATATTATAATATATCGCAACAATAAATTTCGAAAAAGTATAAATAAATAATAAATATCTTTAATGAGTTATAACAAAATTTTGATATATAGGAAAGCTAACTACATTGAAAAATTGTATTGCAACAAGATTACATAAACTCTGATATTTAAACATGAACAATAATGTATAAAGTAAGTGTTCAGAATAACACTAGAACCAAAAAAATGAGTTTTGAATATCAAAGAACTTGAGTAAATACAATTAATGCTTAACAATCACTCAACAAGTCGGTATAGAAGTCGTTTTTTTTTCTTTAAATCGTAACTTAAATAATAAATAAATATTTTTTTTTTTGTATTAAATACATCGAGTTATGGGACAAATTTTCCCATTAAAATATAAACTTCCCTAAACAGATCTTTGCTTTGAGTCAAAATAAATATTGTAGAGTAAAAAAAAAGTCTAAAATAGGGATGTTTTTAACAATTTAGACTAGGAACATTTTTTAATGATTTGCCAAAGACTGTTTAGTCCATCCTATTTTTAATAAATATGTATTGCATATTAATATATGCACACAGATAAACCTTAATTTAACAGAAATCGGTTTGATGATTATTAAAGTCCAGAGAAAAGAAGTGAATAAATTACTAATGAAACTAACAGAGAGGAACTGAATTATTTTAGATTTTCTGGACTGCATATTTTTAATACTTAAAGCGGTTCTGAAGTGGTAGGAGAGTGAAGAATAGAAGAAGATCTGCCATTGAAATATTGTGGTGATACTGAACCACTTTCTAAGGTTGACCTATGGGTATAAGGACTGTGTCTGAAAAAAAAAAAAAAATGTATAGATTTTGACCATAATTACAAACTTAGTAATTTACAAGTTCTTTCGAAACAATTTGATTATTTTGCAGTACAGTATAAACAACTCTGCTTCCAAATCAAGTACTTAGTTATAGCTAATCTACAACAACTTGTATTTTCAAAAAGTTACTTTAAAACTACAAGTCCCAAAACAAAACTTACCTTTTTGGTATTGCACTGGTCAGCGCATCATCCAAATGGTAATCCGAGTCGGAATATAAATTTTTAGTTACACTCTTAGGCCTGGCAATCCTGCTAGTGTAAGTCTGATAGGATCCTGGAAGATTTTGATAGGAAGAACCTACAATAATACTTATAAGCAAATTCCTCTAAAAAAATCATCATCATTATTACCTGGTAAATTTTGATAAGAATGAGTCAAATTTTGACTGGGCACATTTACATAATCATTCAAAACCGAAGCGCTGCGTACGTAAGGCCTATATTCACTTGTAGAACCATGTTCGGGTATATAAGAAGTAAAACTAGTTCGTCTACTCACACTAGGACTGCGATATCGATCCAAAGAGCTGTAATCAGGCTTGGAATAATCTCGCCCATACAAATCCAAATCCTTATAAGTATTTGGTTTCCTAGAAGGCCGTCTTTTTTCGTTGAATCTTGTGTAAAAACTCTTACGCCTTATCCTGTCTATAACCGATTCATTTTCGTCACCAGAATACGAGTGTCCGTTATGAGATTGCGGTGAATGTAAATCGTTCAAATGGTGATAATCGGAACAAGCTGACCAAGAATCGCACGATAAATAGTCTTCGGTTGGTGATAAAATTGTTGAACTATCGTCAGTGGTTGCTAGAGAGTGTCTGTTTGATTCACTTTGAGGGATTTTACTGAAGTCCAATCTCAAATGTGTCCTATCTGGTTTGGATTCTTCTTTGGCAGGTTCAATATTGTCCAAATTTAAGCTTCTTCTAAATGAAGTTACTGGTAATTTTGATTTGGTTGGTTGGTCTAGTAAGCTATCACTTTTAGCACCATTATAAGTATTTTGAAAATGCTTCATTTTATCCAACAATAAAGATTTTGGGCGTTCTTTTTTTTCAACTACTTTGGTTTTTTTCTCTTTGGTTTTCTTGCCAGGTTGTTCTTCGTATTTCTTAAAAAGGCCTAATATTTTGGTGACACTTTTCCTGCTGGCTTGTAAAGGTTTCGAGCCTACAGCCAAGTCTTCAACAGATACTGCTCGTTTTAGTAATCCACTTTCTGTGCACGGTTCCAAGTTTCTCGGTAAGCTTTGCTCTCTCAAGCGTTTTATTGCATTGTCAACTATTGATTTTTTTTCTAGAAGGGCTTTAGCTTCTTCTGGATCTTTTGAAGCTATATTATTACTTCTGAATTTTTCTAGCTTCTTTTCTATTGATTGAAGTAGTTTATTTTTGTGCGCTTTTTCTTCTTCGTTAGTTTCGTTTTTGTCTTCCTTAGATGGTTTGTCTTTTTTACCAAAACCTTTCTTCAACTTACTGATTTTGGATTCTTTTGCAACACTGTCATTTTTTTGTACAATTTCGTTCGGGTAGCTTTTAGGCCTGGCGATTCTAGAAATTCTTGATTCTTTTTTAGGTGCTTTAACGTTAACGTAATCATGTAAAGGCTTTGTGGGTTCATTTGCTTCTTCGTTGTTTGTTGTAACTGGTGCAGGCATGTTAACATAATCATAAGGCTTTGTGGGTTCATTTGGTTCCTCGTTGTTTGTTGTAACTGGTGCAGGCATGTTAACATAATCATGTGTGTCTTTTGTTTGTTCAATAATAATTGTAGCTTCAGGTTCTTCTTTCTTTTCTTCGCGGCTTCTTGATTGCGACCTCAACCTACTCTTCCTTTTATCTCTTATTTCTTTGAGTACTTGCTGTGTTTCGCGTTCCCGTTCTTTTTTCTCTTTAAGTAAAACATTTTCCTCTTTAGTTTCAAAAAAGTCAGGCCTTAAGAATCTTGAAACTCTTCGAGTATTAGAGGGTTTAGTTTTAGGCAAGTCTGGTGAAGTTGGAGACAGTAAACTTTGACTAGAATTACTAGGTGTGTATCTAGAATATGAATTATTATCGCTCGAGTATCTGGAATAAAGTCTCGAGCTTGAAGTATCTTCGTTTCTTGAAATGCTTTCAGAAATGCTGCTTTCGGGGCTTTGTAAGTCCATAGGCCTGGCTATTCTTGATTCTCCTCTGTTAGTACTCATTGATCTAGTGAGTTTAGGTTTGGTATAGGAAAACTTATAATTTCCTTTAGGTTCTGCTCCAATACTTGAAGATCTTATATTGAATTCATGTGCATTTTCGCTGCCGAATTTTACAGGTAAAAAAGATTTTGAAGTACTTCTTACATAATTTTTAACACCATCCACATCATTTCTTCTAGGTAGTGTACCATAATTCATTCTGTCAACGGATTTTCTTCTATCAACTTCAGGTCTTTTTTGTACTTCGTCACTAGTTTTAGAACTAAGAGTACGTTGTAATTTTCTCACTTCAGATGGTGTTAGTTGCGCTAAAAGTTGCTTTTCAATTCTCCTAGATAAGCCGGGAGTTAGGTAAGACAAGGCTAGTTGGTCTTCTTCACTAAGGTTTAATTTCTTCAAATCTAAGTCTGCCAAATTAAGGTTTTCCGAGTTATCCGTGTGATCGTCTGGAATAGAGAAAGAATTATTTAATTGTTTGTAGGTTTTTTTCGTAGCATTCATGCAAAAGAAAACGACAAAGGTAAAATGATATACAAAAATATAAACACACCTACCTTAAAACTGGGGTGTTAGTTTGTAAATTTTTGGCACAAAACTTCGGCTGCGGCATGGAAAAGAACAAAAAAAAAAAAAGATAAGGCAAAATTAGTATAAAATCAAAATAAAATAAAAAACAAAATAACATAGTTTCACAAGTACACACACACAGTGGGCATTGTTAGCAGAGCGTGCGATAATGGACATGAGATTTTTATTTGTAATTTTGCTTGAAAAAAAAAAAAAATGAATTCCGCCTAGTTGCTGCAAAGTTATTATTTGAAATTTGTTTGTAGGTCAATTGGAGACCGGTGTTGGTTTTGAGAGGATATTGCAAAGAAATTGTTTTATTAGAATTTAATTTGTTATAAATTGGATATCTGGGATTTGTTTATGAAATCGGTTCAGACATTAATCTTTGAAAAATGTTTGTTTTAGACATCCCTGGATTAACTTGAGAATGACAATTAATTTTTCAAAAACGCTCTGGAGCTATAAACACAATTAAATTCTGTATCTTGCAGGAATTTTAATATTTCTCCCAAATCTGGTCTTAGGCTGCTCATCAGATTCTCTGAGTGGCTTCTTCAGGACTCCTCTTTTTTGAAAATATATAAACGCTTTGAAGTTCCCATTTTCAATTGTGAAATACCGTGAAAGTTCACCCGATGCCGTTTTCAACTTCACTATTCTTACTTCTCCATCACATCCAGGGATAATTTCAATTATACATTTCATAGGCTATTTACATTTCTTTTTATTATAATCAGATATCAAGACAATATCTCCAACTTTTACTGTCTGTTTAGAATTTTTCTTGAAAAAAAAAATCAGTTGACCTAAATATTCTGACTTGAACCTCTTATTCAGATTTTTTCTTAGCTTCGGTCGATATTTAAATCGTCTACCCAAATCATTAGCTTCAACTAAATCAAGATCTACAGTTCCTACTTCTTTAATATCTTGTAGGAACATTGACGGTGCTAAAACAACATAGTCATTGGGATCTTCAGACATATACGTCAGTGGTCGTGCATTCGAAACCGCCTCACAATACAATCGCAAAGTACGGTCTGTAGCTCTTCCATATCAAGGTTTGTTTTTCCAAGTGTTTTACGTAATATAAGTTTTTCAACATCCTTATGAGTCGCTTCCACCAACCACCCCACCAGGAACCTTATTCTTGAAACAAGAGACAAATGTTACCAGGAGAACGAGTGTTCCGTCTTTGTCATTTATATTATCATTTGCATATCATTGAGCAAAACGGAACACTCGTACTCCTGGGAGCGTTGCTCCTCTGTAACGAATAGAAATATCTTCTTTATATCTATTGACGTCTCCTCTCTATTGATTCCGACAAGAGAGAAGAAGACAGCAAGTGCCATAGCGATAGAGACAACGATCTCTATCTGTTACAGAGTTCCAGCCCTGGTACCTGGAGGATTCATTCTGCATTCAATTTTCTGTACGGTACTACAGTTTTCAGCTACTATTGACCAATCTATGTCTTCAAAAGCATTGATATATCCAACGAAATTAAATCTTCTTAACGTCTGTAGAAAGACATTACTGAATAAGGATTAAGTCAACTTAAGGTGAACCAGCATGGTAAATGGCACAAGTATATAGTAAAATCCATACTTTTTGGTTAGATTTGGGAGTGTAAAGAGTCAGCTAAATCTATTCCAATAATATTGAACACTGCAGCATCCCGTATTCTGTTCTCCGATAAGCATGTCAGGAGACGTTGCGATTTATCAGTTAAGTATTGATGTATGTGTGGGTTAATGGTCTATTTAGAACACAATTTTGGGGTTGTTTAGGAAAAAAGCCAGGTGAATCACAGGTAGAGGCCGGGTTCACTTATCAATATCAGGTAAGGTGAATCTCTTTCGCGACAGGAGTATCTAACAATTTACCTCTGAAACGTTTACATAAGTACATCCATTAACAGTATGTATGCATTGAAGAATCCAATAGTTTTCTTGTGAAATGCTGTACACCAACATGGTTGTTTTTATTGTGTTCTTCGAAAATAAGACGTTTCAACAACAACATGATTTGAGGGTAAAACATACGGCATACGAAAGTTTTCTGTATCAATTCTGTCTGCAGATATCTTAGTACCTACTGATTACCCTGATTAACCTGTCTTTTTTTTTTTTGAAATAATTCATTTGTTTACTCAAATAGTTGATAATATAATAATGGTACAAAGACTAGTTAAATTAACCAATTGCCATGCTGATTTATAATCAATTATCTATTTTTTATATGCTTTAATGTGCTTACCCCTTTCCTCTAGGACTTTTTAAATACATTGTTGTAAAGTAAACATCAAATTGCTATGTCGGCATTAAATGTTTATTTAAGCCGATGCCGTCCCATAAGGAACGTTCATTTGTTTTCTGGCTTTAGCCTGTAGCAATTTGATCCGAATATTTTCTTTGTCACCTCTGTATTTTAATCAATAAAATAAATGTTTTTTGAAATACAAGTTTCTGAATCGAAAATATAATTGGCGCAGTCGTTCGGATGCTCAGAGTGCTTAAGTTTCGGGAGTTGTAACAGTCGTAATCCGTCGCGAAAATTTCAAAAGACTAAAGAAAGTTCGAAAAAGTGAAATTTGGATTATCAGTGCTGCTATTAAACGTTCCAGATACTGTCCACTTCGAATTGGTTAACTGAGTAAAAGGAATAACAAGAAACAACGTGTGAAGAAAGACTACTGTTATTAGCTTTGCCTAGTAAGTACAACCTTTCTCTTTATACATTTTGTAATTGGTGTTCCATAGTTAAGATTTTTGGATTTTTGATCTTTTGTAATTTCTAATTTTTGATTTACTGAGAAGACTTAAATTCAGATTTTTGTTCTTTTGCAATTCCAAAACGGTTTGCTGAAAAGACTGAAATCAAAAAAATAAAGAGTAACAAAGAATTTACAAACCCACAACAACAAATAGTTTTTAGAAAAAGCAACGCATAAGACTGAATAATTAATTATAATTTTAATTTTAATAAAACTTTCTAATTTTGAATTTTTTTTAAATTTTCAAAATAATTTCTTTTAACCATTCAAAGAAATATATATGTCAGATTCTGAAGAAGAAATCGAGAATCTTTTGACTCAATTTAATTTAACTCATCTTTACAATCCTAATTCAAGAAGTAACAACCAAAATCAAAGATCAACCGTAACAATGAGTGAAAATTTAAAATTAATTGTACAACTTATCAAACCTTTCAGTGGCGAAAGCCAATATTTAGAATATTTCATAAGAAACATAAATGAATTTTACCAAACCTATTATACTGGTGAAAATGCTCAAAAAGAGTATGTGGTTACCGCCATAAAATCAAAATTAATAAATGACGCAGGAAATTTTCTTATGGCACGTCCTGATTTACAAACATGGACTGATATAAGAGAAGCGTTAAGAATAAAGTATGGTGATCAATATTCTAGACAGAATTTGGTACAAGAGCTTATGTATACCACTAAAACTAATAAAGAAACTATTATTGAGTATTTGGATAAACTAAAAGGTTTAGTTCAAAGAATTACATCTAAAATCATGTGCGACCCGAATTTAACGGTAGTTGCAAATGTTTTAATTGAACAAAACGAAATTATTGCTATTCAAAATCTAGTCACTAATTCGCCAACCGAATTAAGAACAATTTTAATGGTTCCAAATCCACAAACGTTGGATGCAGCTAACAAATTTGTGTTAAATTATCAACTAGCTGAAAACCACATGAAATTTAGTAGAGGACTTACTCATTCTACTAATCAAAATCAAAATCAAAATTTTTCAAATTTCAAAAATAAAAATACGCAATTTCGTTCACAACAAACCTATACTCAACAAAAACCTCAATATACACAAAAAACATCGTATGTACCACAGAAACCACAGTTTCCATCCCAACCTATTATTATACAACCTAAAAAAGACTATGTACCAACAAAATTTCCTACTAGTTCAGGAACTTTTGGCAAAAACTACAATAATGCCTTTCGAAAAAACACTAATCAACAATTTTCGAAACCCATACCTATGTCCGGTGTTTCAGTGCAACCAAGAGCACAAAATCAACATCAATACCCTTCTAAATATACAATCGAAGAAATTAATAATATCTTTGAAATCGAATTGCCTGAACCTGATGAAAATTTCGAAAATGACGAATGTTCTGAAAATCAAAACTATTATGAAGAGACAAATTTTGAAGAAAATCAAGTCGCAACTGAAGACGAAAATTTTTAGTTACAAGCCTTGGATGCAATGAGTCAGCATTAACTTTAAATGCTTATCAAATCAACCAACTGCCTTTTATTCAAATAGACTATCCACCGTGTAAATTATTAATTGACAGAGGAAGTCATGCCTCTTTAATTAGACCCTCAATAGCAGAAGAATATTTTTCAAATTCTATAATTAATTCAAGAAACAAGCTAACAACTTGCATGGGTACAAGAAAAACGTATGGAAAAATCAATATCCCAATTTTACAAGAATATAATATTCAAAACAACATTGAAATGATAATGTATAATTTCCATGACTATTTTGATGGAATTATTGGAATCAAAGCATTACATGATAATAATTTAAATATAGATTTTTCTAATATGCTTTTTTCTAATAATAAAACAACAATTCCGTTTCAATATAGAACAGATTTCGAAAATCAAAACTTTGAGATTCCAAGCAACTCAATTCAATTATGTTATTTCAATACAAATATAGCTGATTGCATTGAAATACTTACACCACCGATAAAAAATGCAACGTATTATATACCATCGACAATAGCCACAGTCATAAACGAGACCGTAGCTCTAGAAGTACATAATTTAATGAATAACCCTATTATTGTCCCATATAACATAAACAACTTA